TTCAAAAACTCATTGACTTAAGTATATATTGCGAAAACTACATAAAATGCGCGTATTAGAATGCAACGTAGTGTCAAAATTTCAAAGCGAACGCTGAAGAACTTTTGAAGATTTAAGATTTTGAACATTTACATTTTTCATTGAAATAGATTGTGGCCAAATTTCCTACAAAATACTAAATACTAAATTAAATATGAATATTAATTATTTATCAACGTGGGACCGTCAGCAACATCCGAGGCCGTTGAAAGTTTCATTTGATACATCCTTTAAGCGCAATAAATTATAACTTGCTACATTTCTCGACGCTCCAGATTCGTTAACGAATGGCGTCCGCCATCTTGATCCGGCGGCATCTTATAATCAGTTTCATAATATTTGCTTTATAGTAACCAAAATAAGCGACTGTTGCGAAAGAACTTAAACATGAGTTGACTCATAACAAGGTTTAACAATTAAACGAGTTATACTCATGTTTTATTTAACACAAGTAGATTGAATAAATTCAGTGTATATTCCAGTGATATTATCTCATTGCTTGAACATGAATATCTTAGAAGCCAAAAGAAATTCAGAAAGGATTACGAAAGAAATACTTCAGTTCCTACAACGTTATCCGTAATATCAAGTGAAGTCATATAGAGCATAATGAAATGAAATTAACTTTCTAAAAAAGAAAGAAAAAGAAGAATTCGTCTTTTTACTTTTACGGGCTTTAACTCAATAAAAATTAAAAACGATAAATCACTATATTGATTAAATTGTAAAATTTTGTAGATACCTCATTAAAATACATCTTCATCTGATATAATGATTTATATGTCGACAACTTTAAGATTAGAAGTTAGCTAGTAATCCTAATAATATAATAAGATAGGCGTTTTATAAAGAAGGTTTTACAAGACCGTGTCAGTGATGTTTAAAAGTCGACAATTTATTGGTACTCCATCGAGGTTTACGGTCGCCGAGCCTATTCCGAATATTAAATTGCGGTCGAGTTTGAATACATTTGAGTTATAAACGATAGCGAAGATATTAACAATTCTGTTATTTAATAATTTTTACCATTAGGTAGACTTTTTTAACGTCAACTTAAGAACAAAGGCCTATCCAAAAATGCGCCAGGAATGCATCTACTTCTAATTTAAATTCTGGAGCTGATTTATCGGTATGTTCTTGTAGCCAGTGTTTTGGAAATAGCTCTATATGTCTAAGTGGCAATATACACCATTCAGGGCTAGTAGCTTGAATTACCTTTGACTTTAATAACCCTGCCTGCGGAGGTTGGAGTCCCGCTTTGTGTGCAAACATTTATATGATGAACAAAAATATGCTTGTACGCGATTCACAGCTTGTTGTGTTGTGTATGACTATGGCTAAGAAAATAATATATCATGTATATTAAATACTTCGTAATGTTATGTCGAAATGTGATATATATTTGCTATTTATTTATTTTCTATGATATATTTCCGACTTACAAATATTTTTTTCCTCACTATCAAGAAACGCGCTATCGCCTATGACTCGTTCATTTACATAAACCAACGTTGGGAATGAAATGGACATTTGATTTACAACTTCTTTCAAGTTGTTGCATATTTATTATAGTTACCCACATTTGGTGTTCACAATGACGTGTGCTTTATTAGCAAATGAATTTAAGTCCAGACCGTGTCATTGGGGATTAAATCTTGAAGTGCCTTCAGCCTTTAGCTTCTTATAACCCCAAGTATCAGCAGATTTAGAGAATTATGGAATCATATTAGATCGTTTGATCAAATATTAAAAATTGTTAGAGGTTTTCACCAGGATTTATTTTATATAAAATTAGTTATCAATTTTTTACTGATTTATATATATATATATTTGTTTTTTTTAGTCATTTGTAAATATAATGGATATGTATTGGCTATTATAACTATCATAAATCTACGCTGAATTAATGTCCTCGCTTCGTTTATACTTACATATCCAAACTTTAATAACCATTTATCTAAAGCTTACTAAGACAATCTCACAGGAATTGTTAATTAATAAACTTTTTTAAACAATCAAGTAAGTATAAAGAATATAAATTCACTGCTAAATTATAAATACAAACTGCGTTGTTTTGTTTGACAGTATTTAATACATTTAACGGGATATCAGTGAGCACAACTTGCCCAGCTTGGTAATATCGGCCTCTGCCAGATCAGATAGAAGTAAATATGCGCGGGAGCACGCGCCACGCCCGACTCGATCTTTACTCGATTCTGCTCAGGCTGTGTTGCAACACAAGGACTCGTATATTATCTTAAGCCGTTGACCTGTTTCTTTATTGTATTTTGTCTTAATTTTCAATATAACCTATAACCTGAGAATGTTTAAATCATTTAGTTTTCCCAGCTAGAAGTCAGAGTAGGTACATATATAATTTAATGAAATAGGTTTTATGACATTAAATTTATTTAAAATGAAGTTATAACGGGTAATTTCTAAGGTGATAATTCAATTGTTTGAAATAATTTTCTAAATGTTTCTAATGTGTAATTCTTATTTAGTTAAAGACTTATCTAATTAGAGATTTTGTCAAGTGATTATCTTTTATAATTATTTGTTTACAATATTCGCCACATATTTTCGTGGGAGGTTACCGGGGTTTTGTAGTTTTTACGGAATTTATCGCGTATATTTAACTTTTTAAATACCCGACGTTTCTAACGCTTTACAGCACTCATGGTCACGGGACTGAGATGTTCAACGTCCAGATGTCATAGTTAACCGCGGTTACCATAGATTAAAATTTTACTTTGTTCCGATTTACACAATATGAACTATACAGTATGAAGTTAATTATAATTAATTAAAAAAAAATAATTATCAAACTTTTCTCGTAGAAGTAATGAGGCAATAAACAGTTTACTATAAACGCACTAAGCATGCAGGACGCAAGTATGGCTTGGCAAACAGCGTATTCTTGATTAATATTATTGATAAAAGATTCTTTCTAATTTGTCAGACAAGCCGGTTTTTTACTGACTATTTTGTCCATCATTGCCTCACGTAACAATTTAGCATTTATAAATGCAATTAATAGTTTTTGCGTATGCTATCTGTAATAGGAGATCAAATGTTTAATTGCTTTGTGTTATTTAATAAGAATTTCAGGCGAAAGCTCGGCCGCTAAGTTATGTATATTAGGGCTTTAAAACATTATGTAACTGTATGGATCTTTAATTTTACACTATTAGTTTTGAAGTTGAATAACAAGTGCAATCTGAATATTTCTTTACAATCATATTATATACATGTTTCACGAATGATACTAGGTGCTAGGACTCCATCCCAGCCCAGGAGTTCGTGTGGTTTAGGTACCTTCTTTTTACCAACCAACTAATATTTTTGCCCCTAGCATTTCGACCTGTGTGAGCCAATCCAGCTTAGTTCTCAGAGGTGACAACGCATATATAGCCTGTTTTAATTGAAGTTGTCTACGGACGAGCAGGGACTGCAGTAGCTACATAACATCAGGTGGATTCATTTTTCACTTCGATTTTATAACAAAATCTGGCCTAGTTTTACTTATCCAAGTGCATTTTGTAAGTTGGTCGGCTGTTACTCGTTAACTTGTTAATTCTACTTAGCTGTGACAGTTTTCCTTTTAGTTTCATTATATTTACCGTTTTTCTCTTGTATTATATCTTGCATACTTTTCACATTTCCAAAAACAGCAGTTTGCTTGTGGGGGGAGGGGGGCTCTGAATCGAAAAAAATGTTTTATACTCAATAATAAAACACTTTTGAAAAACCTATCCAACGATACCACGCGGTGGATAAACCGGTAAAAAAAAATCATCCTCCCTTTATCTGTATGGGAGATACTCAAAATAAAAATGCTTTTCAAAATTTTATTCACAGTTTTGTAGACGTGATTAATGTCTAGGGTTTCTGAGTAAAACCGCGGGCATACGGACTGACATGGCGAAATTATGAGGGTCCCTTGTTGTTAAACTACGGAATCCTAAAAAATAAACAAATAAAGGTTAAGTGACGAACATTTATAAAAAATATATACATATTTAAAAACTTTTGTTATACCAACACAATAAAAAATCTAATTACTCTTAAGGCCCCTGTCATTTAAGAGATTTAAAATTACTTAAAAAAATGTAAAGCACTTCATGACTGCCCTGCTTCACATGACATCGGCGAAGCTCAAAAAACGCTGACAAAAAATTCACTAATGCGGTAATAAGTGATATTATAAACATGAAAGCTACCGCCGCAAGCGTTAAAGACGTCTTCTCGAGTTTTATTTTTGTTCATTTCTGATTCAAATGAAACAGCATTTGTAGCTGAGCTTGAATTATCTGAAAAATTCGCAATTCGCGATTTTTTTTATTTTTTTTAAGGATAAAAAATTTCATTTGTACTCTGTACGTTGTATGTTGTAATTACTTGATCGAGTAAAGTATACTCGACCAAGGAGTTAAGGGGTAAAACTTAAAATGTGAAAAAATTACCTTTTTTATATTTTTAGTTAACTACCACAAGAAAGCTTTATTTTTGTTTTTTTTTAAAGAATATTAACAACGCAATAAACATTACTGATATTCCCCTTAACCACTCGTGGTAAGCTTAAATTGCTTGTGTTACGAGCGGTTCACGCCAGTAGTCGAATGGTGGATTCGAACCCACGACCTTTTTGAGTTCGCGGTCCGCGCCCTGCCATTAGGCTACTGTGGCTTACTGTCTGTTCTTGCATTTATTTATATTTGTTTCTATTTGATTACTTAAATTTTCGGTTACTATTAAAACAATCTTTCAATTTTAATTTCACCAATGACTTTCTACTCCAATTTAGTTATACCTACTCTCCTTTACTATTTAATCTCTCGTGACAGATTTTAACTTTTTTAATACACTTTGCAACAAGTTCAAAGGCAATTATGCCAGTTTGATTTTAATGTACATATCTCATTCAGCTAACTTTTTCTTATTGTTCATTTCCTCCGTAGGCCCCTTGTGTGTCAGAACGGCGCCACCTGCACCAACTCAGTAGGTGGTTTCTCATGCATCTGTGTCAACGGCTGGACTGGGCCGGAGTGTTCTGTTAACATCGACGACTGCGCCGGTGCTGCGTGTTTCAACGGAGCCACTTGCATCGATAGGGTCGGCGCCTTTTACTGCAAGTGCACGCCGGGAAAGACTGGTGAGTACCCCTGTAATTTAGTCCTAGGAAATTAAATAAGTACTAGATGAACAAAAAGCTTAGAAATTTTAATTTCTTGTAGTATTTGATTAAAACTACTTTTACGGATTTTATCGCGTTTTATTTATATTAATTTTAATACCCGACGTTTCAGGTGCTTTCCAGCACCCATGGTCACGGGGGACTGTCCCCCAGTCCAGTCCAGACGTAAGTCCCCCGTGACCATGGGTGCTGGAAAGCACCCGAAACGTCGGGTATTAAAATTAATATAAATAAAACGCGATAAAATCCGTAAAAGTAGTTTTAATCAATGCATAGTGTTCGCGTAAATATAAGAAATCATTCTTGTAGTATTGTTGTAATTATAATTCTTGACATAACGTTTGCCACCAGGTCTGCTCTGCCATCTCGACGACGCCTGCACGTCTAACCCTTGCCACGCGGACGCTATCTGCGACACCAGTCCCATCAACGGTTCCTACACTTGCTCCTGTGCTTCAGGATATAAAGGACTCGACTGTTCGGAGGATATCGACGAGTGCGAACAAGGTACGCAATTTAAATCGAGACTTAGTTTCTTCTTATTGCTTTTATGGTAAAGATATTTTTTATGTAATTCATTAGTTGCAATTAGGAAGTAAACATCAAACCACTAAGAGGTTTGTCATAGAAACTTAGCTGTAAAGCAATTACGAGTATATATAAGACAATTATTCTTTAAATAGATATACATTCAGAAAATAAATATAATACATATTACAATCAAATTTATAAATCAATTATTCTTGGAAATCCGTTCAAAAACAAACATCATTTCAGAAATAATAATTATGTTGACAGTCACAGTTACATCTACCCAAGTTGCTTACTTCGATCTACCCACATAAAAATGACTGAAAGCAAGCTTGAGAAATTTGGATCTGATGAAGTAATTCGCTGATAGGATCGCCGTGTGAACACGACGGCACTTGCGTGAACACGCCGGGCTCTTTCGCGTGCAACTGCTCGGTGGGCTTCACGGGGCCGCGCTGCGAGACCAACGTCAACGAGTGCGAGAGCCACCCCTGTCGGAACGACGGCTCCTGCCTCGACGACCCCGGCACCTTCCGCTGTGTATGCATGCCTGGTAAGTGCTAGCTAATTTTTATCAAAACTAGGTAGTTTTTTTAAATATAATACAATATATTATATAATATAATATAATATAAGTGACAAACGAGCACACAGTCCACCAGATGGTAAGTGGATGCAGTGGCCTATCTTAATATATATAAATTACGTGTCACGTTGTTGGTCCGCGATGGACTCCTAAACTACTTAACCGATTTTAATCAAATTTGCACACCGTGTGCAGTTTGGTCCAACTTGAGAGATAGGATGTTTTTTTGCCCATGAGTGACCCATAATTATTTTTTTTTTTGCGAATTTAACGATTTTCAATAGGACATGACAAGGGGTCATCGAAAAGGGTAGAAACAACGTCTGCCTGGCAAGCTAGTAGACATCTATATTTAAAAATGCAGATGTCTTGTTACCCCTCTGGTCTAAGATGGAATGCCTCATTTCCATTATGAATGGGTCTTCGGTTCTCTACACTCACCACAAGAAACACAGCGCCATTAAGCTGCTGCTTTACGCTGGTACTGTGTGAAAGCGTGATCCATAATATAGCTACAGCTTGGCTCTACCACGTATAAAAGTGTTGAGTGTTGTGTCATTCTGGTATTCTCATATTTTCATAGGTTGATAGTGTTGTAATCAGAAACACGAGAGTAGTTTCTGATAGTATTTCCTTTTCTTGCCTAACTGCGGCCTTATTGTTCAACAAAATGTTGGTTGGTTCAAAAGATTGAGTGAATCTATGTTCGCACCGATGCGCTGTAATATTTATCTACTGTGCTGTTTATTGCTTCCGATATTATTCGGAACTAATGTGCGAGCAATCATCTGATAATAGTTCGACATAAGATTTTGAACAGTTATATAGAACCTTATGCTGTGTATGCAAGCCTGGTATCATCTACATGATAGCATCGTAATGGTATTCGAATATTCTATAGAACCCCTTGTGTATGGCCTGATTCAGTTTCAGGTTTAAAATATTGTAGGAATTTCTGTTATATAATATATAAACCTGGTATTTCTATATTTACCATTTTCGTACGGGATTTGAAATATAATATGAACTAAAGAAAAACCTGCTACATTTTTTTCGAAGATATATAGTAACAACTTACCATCAGGTGGCTTATACCACAATACTCGTAGGTTATCTTCATTCAAATGAAATTAAAAAAAAACACATCGTAGCAAGATGTGAACAATTTAACTCTGGGTGGGTAACGTAAGAAATTTATGTGTTTATTTCCAATGCAAATGCCATAATATCAGTAAAACACTTCCGCACAACGGTACAAATGGACCACCTCGTACAATTTGCTCGCCGGTGACCGTCTGATGTTTGTCATTACCATTGGACTGAGACGACGGTGACGACGGTTCTCGAAAGGGATAGTTAGATTACAGTAATATTTGTAGGGTTTACAAAGTTATATCAGAAAATTATGAAGTGTTTACATATTTTTAAAGAATTAATAAAGATGAAGCAATTTAATAAAACGCTTATCTGAAAGTGTTACTTTAAAAATTATTTATAATCAAACGTTCAACACTTAAAGTAGCTTTACCAAAATTAAGAGTTTGTATCAAAATCGAAAGAAAATATAGTTGTTAATATTTTTTGTACTAATGAATTAAACGTATAAAGCTACATTAAGATGTAGACAGCCCTGATCATTCACAGTTCCCATGAAATGGATGGAGAGCGGCGCCCGCGCATTGTTTTGACGCGGAAACGTTACAAGTTAACACAAACAATGAAAATTCATCTGTAATGGGTGTATATTAAGATAATTTTTCGCTTGTTTACAATTGTGTGAATTCACTATTAATTGGATAATGATCTATTTGCATGTCTCGCTCTTTTCGCCACTACGGTAACCTATTCTTTGCCGTCTAATCAGGAAATTGACTCTTATTACCCAAATATATGAAGCAAGTTTGAATAAAGCAATGCAAAGTATTTTTGCAGCTTATCTGTGATCTGAACTGGAATTAAAACAAGTTACGTGTAATTTAAAAATATAGTTTTACATTGACATTAAGGTTTGTTTTGTAATTTCTCACACAAAATACGGTACAGTTATGCTACTTCCTTACCAAACTGTATACTTTTTCGTTTTCGCACATGACTACATAAATAGATGACGTTTTTAGTCTATTTTACTCATCTGTTGGGAAATAAATACTAGTCTATTCTATATATTACTTGTTTTTTATTAACCTGTAAAAATTTGTTACTGGACATGGACATCGAAAACCGTTTTTCTATAATCGTTATATTAAAAATGTTTATACCGCCATCTATCGGAGAGTATAAGATCTTCCTGGGATTTCCTATAATTGCCTTTTACGACTACAATAGAATGATTTTTTTATAAATGGGATAAGGGTGCCAACTGAGAAGCGAGCACACAGTCTACCTGATGGTAAATGGTTGCTGTGGCCTATAGACATCTACATCTATCCTCGTTTGCGAGTCAAAATGCAGATGCGCTGTCAGCCGTGAGGACTAAGATGGAATGCCTCTTTTCCAGTAAAAAGGGTCTCCCGGTTCTCTACACTCACTATACAAAACACAGCAGCCTTAAGCTGGTATTCTGTGAGAGCGTGGTCCTTCCCCGGTCGAGCCGACCCATTCTTGCTAAAACTACTATACAATTAATATAGCTGAAACATGGCTTTACCACGTATAGGTTTCTACTACCACACGGTAAATTTTTCTGACTGCGTATTAATATTATTAAAAAAAGTGTTAAGTTTTAAAACCAAGCCTGAACTTGGATAGTGGCTACATGCTCATTTGTCCATATACTGAATTGTAAATGAGTTTCATCTACTGAATGGTAAGTGGATGTTGTGACCTATATAACGACATCTATATAATGACTAACATCGCCGGTCTCTAGTCCTCTCTCCACTTACCCTTCGAAACAGCAGTATTATGTTTTCCGTATTATGTTTTCCGCTGATATTCTCTATGAACTTGCTTCTACCCTGGTCGAACTGATCCGTGCATACTACGACCATAATACGGCCACATTGTGGCTCTACAAATATACATTTAAATTTTATTTATCAGACCGAGGCTATCAATATTTATTGTTGGATCGACATAATATGTTCTACCGTTTTCTTGTTATAAAATTTAAAATTAAAATTTTCTGCCCGTTGCTGCCCAAGCCTGTTTCAATTCCCTCGGTGTCCACTTGCTGCACCAACGATATGATATGAGCGGAAGCATTACACCTATAGCAATTCAAAATAGTAAAAACTGCCTTCCCCAACCTGCCTGTCCAGCGTGCCAATTGTGGAAAATATCCTCCTGTGAGCCAATCCATTATGAAGACTGATGATGATTATAATTTTAAATTTCGAAAACAATTCATCGGTTGATGAATATATATCTAAGGAAAGGCCACTAAGCAAAATAATAATTGGTATTTAAGTTTGGTAATAAATAAAAACCATGAAACGTAAACATTCTTAAACCTTTCCCGCTATCATTAGCGTAGTTTCACGGTTTTGAAATATGAGCCGAGTTGAATTCCATTCCTGGACAGGTAATATTTAGCCACGTCAAAGGTTTTATGCGCATGCGTATGAATACTCGGCCACATTGTCAACGTTACAAAAGATGTCAGCGTACGCGATGATGCGGACATGCGGACGCGATCACTCATCGGAACGGCCCCCTATCATCCTCCCTCTCTTACATTATAACCCAGCTGAATAATGTAGACCTTTCTTACATCTCACATTAACAAAGATCTAATAACTCTTCAATTCGATCACGTCATTTAATCCTACAAGTGACGTGCAACCCGATAAAATTGAAAGAACCTGTTTAAAGACGAGCATCGATTGTAAAAGTAGTCGGCTATTTTTATTCGTATATTACTTGTATCATGCACGAGTGAGCCCGAACCCGTCCAGCTAGTGGTCTAATAAGGGCAAACGTGGTATGACGGCGATATACCTAGTTTTTTTTAACCATAAAATATGTCGTCTAGTACTTTGCACCCGGTTTTTACCCGAAGCCTACGTTACGGTTGAAGCAGACGGGGCGAATTGGCAACGGCGTTTATGACTAGTTTGATTGAATGTATCATCAAAAAGAATTATTATGACAACGATGGATATGTTATATCACGCAATAGATATTTTTAAACGTGGCGAAATATTTTTATACAAATTCGTAAATAGGTATAAAATTGCGAAACATTTAATCGGCATAAATGGATATTGTTCATGAACCGTGAGTTAACGGTGTGCTGAGTGAACGTTCTAATAGTATATCAAATTCAAATTATTTTTTTAAATAAACATCCACTACCACTATCCCGTGGGTGCCGTTAAGAAGCGATAGAGGGAAACTGAAATAGGAATTGAGCAGCAACACCTTCGATAACACCTCAAAGTAACAAACTGCAGTTGTCCTTTTTTTAATTATTTATAGGTACGACTTTTAATTCAGTCTGTCTACAGAACACATATTTACACATACATATTGTCTCATACTTGTTTCAATTAAAGTAGAACCAACAACACCATAATATACCTATATTGATTAATTGAAGAAATGTTTTTCAGACACAAAAGTCAGGTCTTACAACATTCCTATAAAATGAGACCAGAGACGACTCGCGGTTTTGAGAATACGCCTTTTTCTAAACGGCTACCACAGGTTTTAGAAACTGGACGGGATGAGATTTTGCCTTTTACATCATAGCGAGCGGTTAGTTAAAAAAAATTTATTCCCATGAAAATTTCTTAGAACAAAAATATTTTCCTATTATATTTGTCAGAGAGCGTCCTTTTTACATCTATAGCTATATATAGAAATAGGTAAGAGGGATACCTAGTTAGGCGAGTATCTTGGCAGAAAATGGATCTTGCCACGTAGCATACTGTATCCAACAGTAAGACATATATAAGTTGTCACTTGTTTTTATCAAAGTGTTGGTTCTCTATATCCTGCTCTCCTCACGTGATATACTGCAGAAAATATTTTTTTTATATTCTTAAGTGCTAAGCTCAGATCATAGAACTGTTGTTTCTATTATCTAAGTGCTAAAGCAACTGTCTGTACTTCAAAGGAGACAATTTCTTTTTTTATGGAGATTGGGCCCACCAAAAATTGTGGCGAATGTCAAACGGCAAATCTCACTATCACCTAAAATTTTATATGTGCGACTATGTAGTAGTTTTTATGGATATTCCATGTTATAATAGGGCACTGTTAATAGTAAGTATACAAAAATATGTAGGTTATTCAAAATCCTAAATACTACTTGGTGATCTCTCCGGAACTATTAAAAGAATATTTTAGAAGTTTCAACAATTGACGAATAAACAGATGACGGTGATTCGTATATATATATATATATATATATATATATATATATATATATATATATATATGTATATATATATATATATATATATATATATATATATATTATATATATATATGTATATATATATATATATATATATATATATATATATATTGATTTTTAATTGTATTGTTTATTCTCAGTTTCTTTTTTATGCGTAGAAAAATTAAATTAAGTTATTATTTCTAGTGGGCCCAAAACGATTCTCTCCTTTCAATTCCACGGTGGACATCCAACGTCCCCGCAGTCTACGTCATCCAACACTCATACATGAGCTCTTTGGCTTTTGAGTTTGTTATATCCGAGTTAAAGCCTTCCCATCTGGTCACGTGTTTAACTAAAACGCGCATTAAACATTCAAATATGCGCATAAAGCCCGCATTAGCATGCGCCGGACATTCCTATTGTGGCTTGTGATCCGAAATCGTGACGTTTCGGACCACGACGCACGTTAGCGGAGGAAGCGTTGTATAGAAAACGTGTACTTTTGATGTTTTAATGTAGGCTTATAAGGGATAACAAACGATATTTGATCCCGCGTTTGGTAAAATATGAATAAATGAGTCCTTACAGTGGTGGTAGCAAAGGTAATCCCAGCTTTTAGGATAAGTGTACAATAATCTCGTGATAGACGTATATTATTTTAAGTACAAGTCTAAAATATGTACTAAATAATAGGTTATGGGAAGTTCGCGTTGAAATCCTCCCAACATAAGAGAACCCCATGTTTACCTGTGGGCTACCGGCAGACATATCATATCTAGTAACAAAACATCTAAAAATAACTTTCATAATAAACTTTTCATCTCTTTTGGACTTTAATACTTGAACTGACGAAGCGTCATAGCCAAGAGAGCAGACATAAAAAGCCAGTAACTTTTAACTTAGGCCATCTGAACATAATGCGCCCGAGCACGGGGTGTGGCATCCCCACCCGGCCACCATTTTGGAGATAAACGATAAACGTCCAATGGGCCGTGGCGGTTATAGAAATGCGCTTGCGTAAAGTTTTATTGCCCACAAATCTATCATTTGAAATATTGCCCGATTACCCACGTGTAATTACGGGTCAGTACCTACGGTAGTTATGGAAATAAACATAAGATTTAATCGCCATAGAAATAGTAATTGCATACATATTTTTAAAGAAACAAATTTTATTTGACACCAGCAATCTGCCCCGGCTTCGCACGGGTGATATCTGGATTCTACAACAGCGCCACCTACCGGGTCCAACTATGCCTATAACCTTCGCGGAAGTGCAAGCAATATGTTGACAAAGTTTTATATTACTAGCGATCTGCCCCGGCTTCGCACGGGTGATATCTGGATTCTACAACAGCGCCACCTACCGAGTCCAACTATGCCTATAACCTTCGCGGAAGTGCAAGCAATATGTTGACAAAGTTTTATATTACTAGCGATCTGCCCCGGCTTCGCACGGGTGATATCTGGATTCTACAACAGCGCCACCTACCGTGTCCAACTATGCCTATAACCTTCGCCGAAGTGCAAGCAATATGTTCACAAAGTTTTACCGCAATCTGATGAACGATATGGCATCGCATAAAATACGGACAAACAAATATTAATTTTTATATAGGTATTAAATTATACATTAGATATGCCATTTATGCTGTTTTATAAGAAATCTTATAAATCTTGGAAGATAAACTAGGCACAAGGCAGTCAGTGCCAGGCTTTTTTGTCGTAAATACCAATTAAAGTCTAATATAAACCTTCATAACGATCAAAAATTTTATCACAATTTTTTTATGATCTCCGAAATGTGGTTTATTTCACACCAGTGGTAGGTAAAAATGATGTTTTATGCTTAAGGGGAAATATAATCTCAAATGGCTTAGCAAGATCCTCCGTTATGCCGAAAGTATTGCAGCATTAATTTTGAAATAAATATATGGTAAAGTTGAGGATTAATGTTAAGAGGATAGAGTAAGTCAGCTTAAATTCTAATTTCACCCCCACTTCCCCGCGCGTCGTATGTTATGTACCGATATGTTTGTAATCACTAATACTGTAAGTAGAAAGGTCGTTAGACACTTATTTCTTTAGGTTTATCATATTTATGCCTGTTTCTTAACGCCAAGCCAGCCCCTTCTTATTTTTATCACGGTTATTTGCCATTTTAATTTTACGTCGTACTGTTGCGTAATCTATATTCTGATCGTAAGGGACACAACTTCTTCCTTCAAAAGCCTAAGCGATACTAACGGGGGGACTGGATTCAAGCTCAAGACGCCGATAGTTTAGGTAATTTCTTTTTACAGTGAAAACAATGGTATTTAAAAAAAAGTAAATAACATAAGCACTGCTTCATAGTTAGTTCAGTTAGTATGCAAAGTTTCATGATCTTATTTAAAGTATTTTACGAATAACAGCGGTTTGTTTTTTATTTTGGGGTAACTTTGGATTTTTTTCTATCGAGAAAATTTTACGAAATCGTGTTTTCGTCTAACATAATCATTAACATTAATCCTCAACTTTACCATATATTTATTTCAAAATTAATGCTGCAATATTTTCGGCATAACGAAGGATCTTGCTAAGCCATTTGACATTATATTTCCCCTTAAGGACTATGTGAGACGAAAACACGATTCCGTAAAATTTTCTCGATAGAAAAAAAATCCAAAGTTACCTCCAAACTGAACAATAAACCGCTGTTATTCATAAAATACTTTGAATAAGATCATGAAACTTTGCATACTAACTGAACTAACTATAAAGCAGTGCTTATGTTATTTACTTTTTTTTAAAATACCCTTATTTTCACTGTAAAAAGAAATTACCTAAACTATCGGCGCGTAAGCTTGATTCCTGTCACCCCGTTAGTATCGCTCCGGCTTTTGAAGGGAGAATTTGTGTCGCTTACGAGCAGAATACATATTACGCAACATGACGACGTAAAATTAAAATGGGAATGATTTCTTATATTTACGCGAACATTGCACATGATTAAAACTACTTTTACGGATTTTATCGCGTTTATTTTTACTTTTTATTTTTAATTCCCGACGTTTCGGGCGCTTTCCAGCACCCATGGTCACGGGGGACTGAGATGACTGACGTCCCGATGTCATTGTTAAACCCGGAGTACCTTCAGCTTTTTTAATTATTGTTTATGGTCCGATCTATGCAAAATGAACTGACTATGTCTTGAGGTCTTGCAGTGGTATGCTTGGGTTTAGTTTTAATTTTATTGATTATAGGATCCCAAGCAGGTGGTAGTACCCAGCCTCCTTCTCTCAGTCCCCCGTGACCATGGGTGCTGGAAAGCACCCGAAACGTCGGGAATTAAAAATAAAAAGTAAAAATAAACGCGATAAAATCCGTAAAAGTAGTTTTAATCATTAAAATGGGAAATAAACGTAATAAAAATAAGAAGCGACTGGGTTGGCGTTAAGAAACAGGCATAAATATGATAAACCTAATGAAATAAGTCTCTAACGACCTTTCTACTTACAGTATTATTGATTACAAACATGTCGGTACATAGAATACGACGCGCGGGGAAGTGGGGGCGAAATTAGAATTTGAGCTGACTTACTCTATCCTCTTAAGCATTAAATCATTTATTGAAATATACATAATATTTTTGAAAAAAAAAAGTACTAACAAGATTTAATAAAATATCATGCAAATTTAAACTCCAACATAATGCAAAACATCTGAAAATCGTATGAAGTGATGATATTTTGAAGTTACATTGCCTCATTAAGATTTTATTTAACAAAGAATAAGATAAAGCCGGTCTTAACTAAAGCTATTTCTACTTAAGGTTAAAACATTTAAGATATCACAAATATGTATTGTCTGTAGAGCCTTTAAATTCCTGTTTCGACTGTGAGACTATCAACATTGACAAATAGTCCAAAGTGAACTTTATTGTAAGGCAGATAGGCACCATTGGTACGGGAGAAATGTTAATTGACTATTACATAAACGAAAGTCGGGACCGCATTCCCTTTTTGGCGGTATAGCGATTTCTGTTGGAATTATTGAAGACTTTTTAATTCATTCATACTAAATATGTATGCACTTTACTCCTTTGAAATAGAGATCAAAATACTGAATTAAACATTTCCTTCTAGACGGTTGTTTGATTCTGCATTGGTCTGAGCTAGATTATCCAGATATGGGCACATGTCGATCACTCAATTTTGAATTCTAAATAGTTTATCTTATGTTTGTGATTTTATTGTACACGATTCATTCGACCAAATACGGCTTGTCAACAAGACGCAGTTTTGAATTATTCCTGTTCGAAGCACTTCCTTGTAGCAACACTGTTGCACAAACACAGTTTTGTTGTAAAATAGTACAAGTTTTATGGAACCAAGTAAAGAATGTATTATAAAAAACACAAAATCAAATCGATTTAAATCGTGCCAATGTTTTACATTATCTATATCCATAACATTTATTCGAGAACGTGTAAACATACTCGCTACTGCGACATAACTACGCAGTAGAAGTAATGTGACGAGTCCAATTTACACAAATTCGCCAGACTTGGGAAATGTATAAAAAATTCATGCATACCGGTGAGTTTTATTTATTTATTTATTAGATGTACACAACGGTTTATATTCATTTTTACATAAATATAAATACCTAATATATATATATATATAATATTTTTTTTTTATATATTATATATATATATATATATTTCAGAATTTTGATCTCGAATACAAATCTAAGACGCGCACACACAATTGTAACACATATAATGCGTAAACACATAGCTATGATGTATGAGTAATTTTGATTTGTAAAAACTTAAGCTCCTCGGTGTCGCTTAAAGATCATAAAATGTTGATTCAATTTGACCACTTTACTTTTATTTATTAAGAATCGAAATTTGAGATGCGTTATTTCTGTTTTATGATAGCAAATAATTTATTATGCTATTAACAAAATTATATTGAAGTGTACTTAGTATAAGGAGTGCATCGACAGCGTAAAGTATCCACCATATCACTAATCCCGTGGGTTCCGTAAGCGGCGACGGAGGGCAACTGAAACGGATGATGGTAGCAGAATCTTCCTGATAACAACGAAATAATAATAAAGTAATATATGTGGTAGTGGATTTATTTTTATCGTTACTTCACGGCTAAGAGCTTATATCGTTACATAATACATAAACACTCACGCCTGTCACCCAGAGGGGTAGGCAGAGAATATTAAATCGTTACAATATAAGCTAATTAAAATAACGGCTAAGAGCTTATAAAATATCTTAAGGTTATTTTGTAATCTTATAATTATAAAATTACAAAATAACGTTCTCAAATGACTAGGAAAATATATTAACGATTTTTATTTATTTATGTACACCCATGTTAATTTTTAATATAATTCAATTATTTTATCTGACAGTAGTTTTACCTTATTCTCCATGGTACAGTATAAACGATTAACCATATCTGAATCTCATAACGCATGCCATCCGTCTTGTTTACCGTCAAGAAGCCAGTTTGTCTTTAGAAACCCAATTATAATTTCTCCGAACCGCTGACTTGATTGACATTGAAGGAACCCGACAGACTTGTTCGACTATCTAATCGGTAGGCGGTTTTGTATTGCAAATCGTGTGCTTCTGTAAGCCTATGACAGAAAATATACAAAAATATTAGATTAAATAACTAACAAGTATTTGTAAATTAACATGAGTTTAACGCTATTTAACGTTTTAAGTAAAGGTTTTCTTCTGATAAGCATTGAATGTACAATTTTTATTTTTATTTTAGTCCTTCTAGTATCATTATGGAGCTGCCGAACCTGGCCATACGAGTAGTATGTATTTATGTATGTATTTTACTTGAGTAGTATTCCTGATTGAACATGATAGTAACTACTTTATCGTATTGTATCAGCTATGGCGGTTTCAAGGTTGTTGCCACATTCATTTAAAGTATTTTGAATAAATATTGAGTATTTTTATTGTTTTATTATAATTTTCTTTGAAATGTCAAAGCGAATCTGAACAGAAATTGTGTAAAAATACTAGTGTAAGAACTGTCATTGGTAGACGAATATTGGGAGACGAGATGACAAAAATGTATGTTTATTTAAAAGAGATATGACGAGGGAATAAGTGTCCTAAACCAAAATAATTTAATAAAATACAATGCCCTAAATAAGGGTAGACATTTTAATAACAGTGCAATATAATCTTTATTTATCAGTTAACTTTACGCAAGTTGACTTTGTTGCGTACATCTTTCACTATGCTTTACGAAGCTAGTTCAGGATTTAACTTTGTTAGTGTCTTTGGTAGTAACGTACGTCGCTTCGTTATAATAACTCGTTCTCGGCAATATTGCTTTGTAATTTGCCGGTTGTAGCATAATCTAACCTGATATTGTTAATGTTATATATGTGTATGTATGTATAAAATACGTAAACTTGATTGTTTTAACCTCAAAGCAATGAGAAGATTAAAGTAGTAGTCGGCATTCTCTGCCTGTTGACTTCATTTTATGCTGGTTTATAAACATTTGTCCGAAAAGAATGTAACAATAAATATAGTACTTATATTATATTTGAAACAAAATGTTCATGGCTCAGCAGTCGTCGCAGGAAACTCACAAAATATTCTGACTTGGCCTGATTCCATAAAATTTCAAGTTATAATGCTGCAGCTTGGCTCTACCACGACGATATATATATATATATATATATATATATATATATATATATATATATATATATATATATATATATATATATATATATATAATGTTTATCCGTATTACAGGTTTCACGGGAACACAATGTGAGGTGGAGATTGATGAATGCGCGAACAACCCCTGCCTGAACGGTGGCGTGTGCCATGACATGATCAACGCGTTTAGGTGCACTTGCGTCATAGGGTGAGTTTCTGATTTTTCAGACTTCAATTTTCCATGTTCATCTAACTTTAAGAAAATATAAATGCCTATTCGCTAATTTTGTTGACATTATAAAATAGTCTTTTTTATGATCCGTAGTAACTCTTAAACGGAAACAACGCATTGTACTGTAGTTTTTCATTTGAATAATTTGCTTGTGAAATTGAAATAAAAACCGTTACTATAGATAACATCGATGTGAATCGATTTGAAAAAAAAATCAAGATACCTATATTTAAAAAATTGATATTAAATTCTAAACTATTTTAAATTCTCTTTTAAAATATCTTTCATTTCGTTTGTTAAAGTTTTACGGGCGCTCGTTGTCAAGTGAACATCGACGACTGCGCATCGAGTCCGTGCCGCAACGGTGGCACTTGCCACGACTCCATCGCCGGCTACACCTGCGAGTGCCTCCCTGGATACACTGGTTTGTAGTAGTTTTACATATTTTAAAATTAACAACGATATTTTAATAACAGTATCCCACATTACCACTACAACTTGCTACTCATGACAATTAATATAAGAAGTTATCGCTTCCTAAACTTCCAGCCCACATGAAGCACCAAGTACTCAAAGCGATTTGTCTGGAATTTTAAAATAAATTTAAAAAAATCGCGATAAATAGTTAAGAAATCTTATTTAGGTAATCGTTAGTTACCCTTAGCCCACATTAAGCTACTTAACTATAATTTGGAATGTAGAAAACCTTGAAAAATAAATTGAATTTTTTTTCAAGATTCATTTTATTTTTTTAAATAAAATACTATCCAATGAATGCTCTTAATAATATTCCCTTGATCACTCCTGGTAAGATTAAGGCTTGTGTGAGGAGTGGTTCACGACAGTAGTCGAATGGCGGATTCAAACCCACAACCTTTTGAGTTGGTGGTCCGCACATTGCCACTATGCTATTGCCGCTTCATAATTACATTTATTAAGGTGAAACCAATCTATGTCTATTAACTTTTCAATGAAACCAAGTATCACTTTCTTAATCATTGATGCCTTACCATAACCATATTTATAGGGTCCGCGTATACAAAACTGGGCTTTACGACTAATGCGAGAATTTTTTCAGGTGTCTCGTGCGAAACTAACATCAACGACTGTCTGTCGGCACCTTGCCACCGTGGCGAGTGTATCGATGGTGACAACAGCTTCACCTGCAACTGTCACCCTGGGTACACCGGCCGCGTATGCCAAACGCAGATCAACGAGTGCGAGTCCAATCCCTGCCAGTTTGGAGGTGAGATACACATTGGACGCCATAAACTACACTAACCAATTAATGTCAGCTTTTAGTAATACATTTTTATATTCTCAGCTTAATGAAAAATGAACTCAAAAGTACAAGATCCGGCTTGAAGGACCATAAAGTTAGCAAACATAAAATTGTATGTTCTATTTGTTATATTTATGTGTATGTATATAAATTATGATATTTTCTTTGGAGAATGCAGAATTAACTTGAATCTTTCAAGTCATACATAATAATTGTATATTTGCATATGAAGTGTATAAAAATTTGTCATTTATCGACATTTTATGACCTAATTGTCTAGGAACTAACCCCACATGACTACTTAAAGGAGATAACGCAGTCACAAGCTTTTTAGATTAGAGTTGACTTCAAATGTCTTAGGACCTGCAGTGTTCTTATCGTCATGTGAGCTACTAAGTCTAAGTTCACTTTTAAACCTAATGTTATAAAAAATAGAACACTTTTATAATAGATATAAATTTGACGTTTTTTATGTTTGTTAATTAAACCAATTCTACTGCAATAGGCCATTGCGAGGACCTAATCGATGGCTACCAGTGTCGCTGCAAACCGGGTACTTCGGGTCGCAATTGCGAGATCAACGTCAACGAGTGCTACTCCAACCCCTGCAGGAACGGAGCCACATGCATCGATGGCATCAACAGGTATGAAGGGCCAATCTTTGACAGTAAGAAAAAGGAAATATTTTATATATTTTATAGTTTTGCTATAATGAGCTTTAAAATACTAGACATAACTAACGAATATATGGAATATACTAAATACTAATATATATTATAGTCAAAATAAAGTAATTCCTCGGATCGGAAGTGTACATAAAATACCAAAATAACTTGTATTTACATTGAAATAACACAATATATCAAATATATGTTATTTCACTTTAACACTCGCTCTGACAATAATTACAAAGTAAAATAACTTCTTCCAAGATAATTCAGCTTAATTTTATTTATTTATAGGATTATTAGAAGGCTCAAAATTTATTACTAATTCTGTAGAAATAGCCTCAAGTAGATTTTATTTTAAACATTTATAAATATAGTTTATTATTTGTTTTATACATCACATATTTTTTTTAATTTATTTTTATTTCTTTCCATGCAGCAATAATTATTTCGAGTAAGTGAAAGCACATCTTAGGCATGCATTTATTTTATTATATACAGAAAAAATTACGAAATAATATGGTTTGCTTATGCCATTTTATATATTTATTTTATTGAATGTCAAAACTAAATTATTTGTATATAATAATTTTTCGGTATTTTATGTATATTTATGACGAAATATAATTTAGTTTATCGGTATGCTATATCACAGTAAATTAATGCAAGGCTTTTGTTATACGAGTAGTCTATTTTAGTACTATTTTTTTGCTCATTGAATTTGCTAAATATAGGCTACCCCCATAGTTTCCCTCATACAGTAAGTTTTTGCCATAGTAGCTACCTATTATTATACACTCACCGGCACAGAAACTTGGCCAAGCGGTTATCTCGCGATAGCAAAAGCTTTAAGTGTTTCTGATGAATGTTTGTTATGCAAGTATGTCAAAAAATGTTTACCCTCAAGTTCAAGAGGGTAATTCATTATGTTTAAGTGCACCATGACGAATTCTTTAATTTTTAGTTGAATCGGGTCATTTGAGCGACTAAGTTCACATTTTAAATTTGTGTGTTGTGAAAAGTTTACTGTAAGGTTATTCAATTATTGTGATCTTGTGTCTTAATTAAATAACTAAAGGTGCTTTAAAGCCAATAAAAATGCCATTAACACCAGCACAAGTTGCACAAGCAGTAGCATTAATTGACCAAGGGCTGACACAGCGTGAAGTTGCTATTGTGCTTAACGTACCACGGTCCTCAATGCAGTATTCACTGAAACGATACCAGGAGACAGGCCGCTACACCCGCAGGCCAGGCAGTGGGGGCGTAAGGTGCACATCGGCTCGGGACGATCGTTTTATTGTTATGGAGATTTTGAGAAACCGCTACCTGACCGCTGTTGAGATACGCCAGCGGCTCCAAATCGCAAGAGGCGTTAATGTTAGTGAGCGTACGATGAGAAGACGAATGGAGGAAGTGAATTTAAAAGCTCGTAGACCAGCACGAGGTCCAGAACTTCTCAGACAGCACCGAGTAGCCCGACTTCAGTTCACAAGAGAACATGTCAATTGGACCCACGAGCAATGGGCTAGAGTGTTGTTCACAGATGAGTGTCGAATAGCTTTACGTGCTCCAGACGGTCGAGAACGAGTGTGGAGAAAAAGAGGAGAGAGGTTTCCACCCATTACCACCACCCAAACTGTGAGTTTCCATGGAGGCTCAATAATGGTATGGGGAGGTGTAAGTTCCGACGCACGTACAGAGTTGGTCATCGTCGATAATCGGCTTACAGCTACTCGATACATCGAGGAAGTTCTTCAGGAGCACGTAATGCCTTATTCGGGATTCATTGGACACGACCAATTCCTCCTCATGCACGATAATGCACGCCCGCACGTCGCACATTGTGTAGAGGAATATCTGGAAGAGGTTGGAATACAAAAATTACAGTGGCCAGCTCGTAGCCCGGACTTAAATCCAATTGAGCATGTATGGGGTATGCTCAAAAGAAAGATAAAGTCCAGCTCCAAACCGCCACAAACTCTAAATGAGCTCCGAAATGCAGCGCTGGCCGCTTGGGACAGCATACCGCAAGTTGATGTCAGAAACATCATTCAAAGCATGCCAGATCGAATGCAAGCGGTTATCAGGGCTAGAGGAGGAAACACCCGATATTAAAACTGATAGACAATAAAGAAACAGACTTAATTTTTAACTTTGTAGTGTTTTTAAAGTGACAATGGAAAGATGTTAATTTTAGTGAAAACATGTTATCTTGAAAAGAAAAATTTCGGTGAAGTAAACATTAAATTTCTATGTTCTAAAACCATTAGAGACACTTATTGAATGCATCTACCCTTAATTTACTGTTAAAAAAACGTTTCAGTGCAAATAATCAGCAAATTCACGAGTGGCCAAGTTTCCGTGCCGGTGAGTGTATAAGTTCTTATAAGGAAGACACTGATGCCGATCTCCTGTTTCCGTTTTCCTGCCGCCTCTTACGACACCCACGCGACGCTATGATAAGTGGATTCTTACACCACCCCTATTCAAAAATGAATTTTCAGTGGCTCGCGTTATGCCAAAAAATTGGTTGATGGTATTAAGAACAGGTCAGGTCAGCATTGGACTTCTGTGATGATATTGATGATAAAAGTTCTATTACATCTGGAATACTTAAGAAAAAGTTGCACTTCAACTTTCCTCACCCCAACATGCTGAAAGTTTTTAATTTTGCAGGTACACCTGCGAGTGTATCCCGGGGTTCACCGGGCAGCACTGTGAGACGAACATCAACGAGTGCCTGTCCAACCCGTGTGCGAACGGTGGCAAGTGCATCGACCGCATTAACGGCTTCCGATGCGAGTGCCCCCGGGGATACTACGACGCCAGGTCCGCTGCTATTGCTTTTATATACAATTGGCATTTTTAATATAGTTGGGCAAAAATTATCTAATCTACATCATTTTTTAAATAATACACTAAAATGCTTACAGCATACAAATTGATAATATTCTTGCGTAACAAGCAACACCTGTGAAAGCTAACTTACTTTTAAAGAAAGAACTGCAAATTCATAATGCAAGCAAAAACAAGCATACACTTGAAGTCATATTGATATTTATATAGAACTTTTATAAAGTTTATGTGAAATAGGAATCGGACGATCATAAATAAAACAAAAATAATACTGAGGTATCTTTGGGTTTCTACTTCTAAGTTGTGTTTTACGATAGATTCACGATCTGCTATCGGTATTTATTAATATATTACAGTTGCAGATTAGCGTTGGTTTTATATAATATTCTATTAAGAATAAGAGAAATGAGAGAAAATAACTCCGTTATCTTCTAGATGCTTGTCCGATGTCAATGAGTGCGCTTCAAATCCTTGCATCAACGGGGGAACATGCGAAGATGGAGTCAATCAGTTTATCTGTCACTGTTTACCCGGATACGGAGGTAAGCTCTCAATCTTTTCAATGAAAATCAATATGGTTAACGGTTTTAAATCCTCTTAAATAAATAAAATTAGCTAAAGTTATATATATGTAAAGTGTGTAATGTTTTTTAATAACTATTTCCAATTTATTTGCCAACAAGGTCAACGTTGTGAGCGCGATATCGACGAATGCAGCTCTAATCCGTGTCAACATGGCGGCACGTGTCACGATCGGCTGAATGCGTACAAATGTGACTGTGTACTCGGATTCACGGGTAAGTCTAGTTGAAAATTTTTATGTAATTTAATCACTGTTTCCATTATTCCAGTCCATTGTACTCCACTTGTGAACATAGATAAAAAAATTTAAATTTGAGATAGGATGAAATTTTGTACTTCCAACTTATAACAACGCATTTATAACTTCATATTTGTGCTGTAGGTAGCTTACGATATTTAGGATACCAGATGTACCTTCCAACGGAAAAGATCCGTGTCTAGCCTTGGACTTTTACGGAAGTATGATAAAGAACAGGATTGCCTTTTAAATGTGTATAATTTTTCCTTGTATCTATTGAAAATGGTTCTCTTTTATATTTTATCGCAAAAGCAGTGCTTTTCTTTTGTAGTATTGGTGTAAAAATTTACACTATTCAGTATTCTTATACCGCCACTATGCGGTAGCTACGGTTGTCCGAACTCATTGTATTAATGTTTTTGTGTGTGTTGTAACTATAAAAAATATGTATAATGTGTGGTGTGGTGGACGGCAGGCGTGAACTGCGAGACGAACATCGACGACTGTGCGGGCAACCCTTGCCTGCACGGCGGCTCGTGCATCGACCTGGTGGACGGCTACCGGTGCGTGTGCGCGCCGCCGCACTCCGGCCGCAACTGCGAGCACACGCTCGACCCCTGCCAGCCCAACCAGTCAGTCTGCTATACTCTATACTATATACTGCCCGGCTAATTTTAAAAAAAAGAATATTAACAATGCTATAAACATTACTAATATTCCCCTTAACCACTCGTGGTAAGCTTAAATTGCTTGTGTTACGAGTGGTTCACGCTAGTATTCGAATGGCGGATTCGAACCCACGACCTTTTTGAGTTCGCGGTCCGCGCCCTGCCATTCCAGGCTACTGTCGCTTTTTAAATAATTGGATACAAATAATCTAAGGATTTTATTTATTTTTACTTATTTTACATTATTCTTATTCCCGACGATTCTTCTTAGTCTTCTCGTGACCATGGATACAACAATAAAGCACCCGAAAAGATGGGAATTACATATTAAGTAAAATTAAACGCGATAAAATGAGTTTGCATCGAAGTCATTCGGGGTCATTAACGATTCTATTCTCATTTGAGTCGCATCGAACTAAGTAAATACTAAGATTATAACTTTTTAGCCTGTTCTTCATCAAAGAGTTTTAAAATGTTGGCAATAAGTAATTCCTGACAGATTGACATCTCATTTCATTGTAAATTGTGTGTGATTTTGATTGTTCCTTTTTTAGTAGCCTGTTTGATTCTATTTCTGTAGTTTGTATGTAATAGGAAGTTCCTGTCACAAGTATTTAAAAGGGTAGTTAATTTTTTGTTACAGAATAAACATTTTTGAATTTTTTTTTTTTTATTTTATTTCTTAAAAAATAAAGTGATAGCTTATATATGTCTCACTGCTGGGCTCGGCCTCCGCTCATTTATAAGATGGTTTTAGGGCAAGGAAGTGTCCGCCGTGTTGACCCAATGCGTGTTAGCCGGCATCACATCTCTTCGAAATATTTTTTTCTTATTTGTTAGACGTGCAGGTTTCCTCAAGATATTTTCCTTCACTGCTGAGCACATGATAAATCAGCACATAAAATTGTAAATAACAATTTCATTGGTGTCTGCGGCGTTTTCAGCCGGGTGGTCGCGTACTGGGAAATTCACAGCGAGCGCTTAGTGCCATAGCTAGCACGGCTCATAGTTATAATGCTGTTGTGACATACTAAGCGTTGATTGCGTGGCGGTGGTGTGCAGATGCCGGCACGGCGGGCGCTGCGTGGCTGAGGCGTCGTACGCGGAGTTCACGTGCGTGTGCGGCGCGGGCTGGGCCGGCGCGCTGTGCGAGCGCGACGTGGACGAGTGCGCCGCGTCCGCGCCCTGCCACAACGCCGCCACCTGCCTCAACAGCGCCGGCTCCTACGCTTGCCTGTGCGCGCGCGGCTACGAGGGCCGTGACTGCGCCGTCAATACCGATGACTGCGCCTCCTGTACGTACCGCTCACCGCTCACCGTTACCTACACACGGCCATGGATTCAGCAACAACGATACGTACACGCCTTTTCATATTCACTTAAAGGCACTAGCTGACAATCTGCGACCTGTAACCATCGGTCTGTGCTTTCATATACTTTCGTCAGTGACTTCTGTACGTACCTACACCGTAACGTAATTTTAAACACCTGTAAAGCACATATTATGTATGTATGTCTTATGTCTAAGGTAGCGGCGTAACTGAGTTCATCACTCCATTGCGTGTGCGTGAATGATAGGATGATTAAAAATATAATGATTTATAAAAGAACTCATGACTACCAATAGATGGCCGTTTATTCACCCTGCTTATATTTTAAGATTCTGTTGTCTGTTCTGTGATCGTCAATCCTCCTACCCTGGGGGATTTTGTTAATTTTCAGAAGAATGTGATGAAAAATATCTAAACTCCCAATTGTAGATAGAATTTAATCTACATCGCTAAGGCACTTCTTTTTTTAACTGTATAAAGCTACATATTGAGGGCGACATCATCCTGCTTTGTAGAATGCAATGATGCAGCTCCTATGACGCCAAAAATTATTTTAGTTTCTATTTATGTATTTATAAAAACCTTACGTTCTGCGAAATTACATACTAATTATTATATTCATCTTATATTACTTTGCAGTTCCATGTCAAAATGGCGCGACGTGTTTGGACAGCATTGGCGACTACAACTGCGTATGTGCGAGCGGGTTCGCTGGCAAACATTGCGAGATCGACATCGACGAGTGTCAGTCGAGGCCGTGCATGAATGGAGCTACGTGTAACCAGGTACTAATTGTTTTTAATCCATAATTTTTAATTATTTTATAGTTTTAAATTTAATCTTTTTGTGTTTATTAGCACGTAAGGTTAAATTTTTGGACATGGCCGAGCAAGAATCAGCAACATTGAACTAACTACTTAATATCTTTGGCAGTATGTGGCGTCGTACACTTGCACGTGTCCGCTGGGTTTCTCCGGGATCAACTGTCAGACCAACGACGAGGATTGCACGGAATCCAGCTGCATGAACGGAGGCACCTGTATCGATGGCATCAACTCCTATAACTGCTCATGTCCACCTGGGTAAGTAATACAATTAAGAATTAAGATCAGATTTAAAAGCATAAAAGAAGAAGTTACATACATGCATGAATATGAGATATGGATAAGATGTTTGAACTAAAAAGTGTGGGTAGAATGCAAATTTCCCCAAGATACTTTTTTTAAGGCCAAGTGCAAAAAATACTCAGCTGGTTTTAATTACTTGCAATATTTGCTCCATATTGTTTGTTATGACTGACACCCACGAGCAATATAAGGTGATAAATTCTCTTAGATGATCTCTGCACACAGCAAATTTCAACTTTTTGTAGGTTTTGTATACCCTCTTTTTCTTTTATTTATTTTATATAAATAACGTTTTTTTTTTAAATTTTGTTAAGGTACACGGGTTCAAACTGCCAGTTCCGCATCAACATGTGCGACAGCTCTCCGTGCGACAACGGCGCCACCTGCCACGATCACGTCACATTCTACACTTGTCACTGTCCCTACGGATATACCGGGAAGCACTGTGAAGCATACGTTGACTGGTATTTTTTTTGTCTTTTCTATAAACTTATTAGATATGTAATATGTTTTTAATTTGTATAATGTAAAAGTAATTTAATATAAAAAGTAAAATGTTAACAAATGAATTTCTCCGTCCTGTCACATGTTAAAAGTTCTTGATATCTTTTTGGAAGAAAAGGAGTAGAAAGAGAATGAAATGGAGTCTCAAATACTTTATCATATATAATGATGTTTCCTTTCACGGCATACGGAAAAGTAGTTCTAAAAGAAAAATGAGTTCATATCATTCGATATGATCGAATTGCAGTCTTCATCTTGTAGGGTAGACCACAGATTTCATAATACTTTCTAATAACTATCATTTGAATAGTTAAATTTTATAATATAATTTTAGTTAGAAGTAGTATGAGTGGTTATTTTTCCTATTTTAAGCAGTAACATTTGCCCTGAGCTACCGAGCCATTGAAGTATACTTATTTCGTTAGTTTGCCTACTCGTTAACTTTCATGTTTTTTGTTTGTTAATAATTGATGATCTTGGAGTGACGATTGCGTGTTAACAAACGTCAGTAGATGGAGTTACTCTTTGATTGCCTCATTTGTCCACGAGTGGTCGTAAACGCGACTGATGATGTCTTAGTAGAGGATCCTAGAATGATATAGTTTCTCGCTCAAACTTTGGGAAGCGTGTAAAGCGCTTGGTCCTGCGGCTGATTTCACTCCGGTTGTATCGGAGTGCACCTAAAGTACACCTGCGCTAGCGCTCGTACACGTGTACTATAAATCTTTTCCTGCGCAGAGGACTAGTCTCGTTTGACTTTATTATTATAGATGTCGCTAGATGACTGTGTAGTAGCGGTGTAAGAATATACGTTATTCCTTATCGTTCCATGGGTGTCATAAGAGACGATAAAAGGAAATCAAAAAATAAAAACAGCGGGCTGCCAACCTTCCTGCTAAGCGTAGACTACGGCAAGTACCCGTCGTAAGCGGCGACAGAAGTAAACAAATAAATCAGGAGGTGAGCAGCAGCGTCTTCTACAAATAACTAAAAAAATGCCAAGTGAGGCAACTATCCCTCTAATAAGCAATCTATGAGAAAGACTGAAAGCCATATTGACCTGGTGGAGGCGTGTTGCAGCTATATTATGGTTGTAGCATGAATGGGTCGGCTTGACCGAGGTAGGGTAACATGTCACAGAACACCAATGTAAAATAGCAGCTTATTGCTGCTATGCTTCGTATGGTGAATTAAGAACTTTTTAAAACGAGGCATTCCATCTTAGTCTTCAGGGATTACAACGCATCTGCTTTTTCGATGATATTTCGATTCTTGTGTAGTAGTCTATGAATCGCAGTATCCACTTACTGTGTGCTCGCAAGTCACCCTTATTCTATAAAATAAAACGTCTATGATCAGCAATGGACTTGGATTGCGAGGGTAACGGTAACGGTGGGTTTTATGTAAGTGTTTGCGCAGGTGTGAGAATCGTCCGTGCGAGAACGGCGCGACTTGCTCGCAGTCGGGCGCGCAATACGCGTGCGCCTGCGCGCCCGGCTGGGCCGGCAAGCTGTGCGACGTGCAGATGGTCTCCTGCAACGACGCCGCGCTCAGGAAAGGTATGACCAGACACTTTTCACCCTAAGTTACTCCTCACAGCATCAGCCATCTGCCAGTAAATGTCCCGTCAAAATCGGTCCTGCCATTTCGGAGATTAGCCAAACAAACAGACAGAGAATTTAAAAAATTGTTTTTAGTTATAAGTAGCGTATATACTTTCATATGCATTTAGTAAAATGCTGTTATATTGACATTACACACAGGCACTTCAATTTTATTTTTTATTTGTATAAATAAAGGTGCTAGCACTCTTACCCTAAAGCTGCGGGTGCAGTTAATGCCGTACTGAAAATCACAGATGCTGGCAGTCGTTTTGTTTGTTTTAATATCAAGACACATTTTGCCATTAACATAAAATAGAAGTTGTTTTTTTTTTAAATTAATAATCAGTATAATGTGTAACTATAATTTTTATGAAATTGTTACCACAATTTATATGCATTATAATTTAAAAATGAATCGTAATGTAATTTAGAAATTTTAATGCTACAACGCAAAAAATATAATTATTAAGCGACAGTAGCATAATGGCATCTTCCTGACGACAGGTAGAACAAAAACTGCAGTTGCCAACCTATGGGGAGGCCAATGTTTAGCAATGGAATTTGATAGGTGGTCATGTTGATGTGGAATTATTGTAGGAATAATATAGAATTAGGCGAAAATTAATGAAAACTAGTATCGCGTTTTGTCGAAATTCGACCATTGAATTGGTTATAGGTTAGGTTATATATGTTTGCACATTATTTTAATTGCCTTAACGGCAACAAACACACACATTTTTTCTGCAGGTTTTTGGCATAGTACCTTTCGAATGATGGAAGTTATATTCCCTTATCTTAAAAACGTATTTAAAAACGTATGATTATTTGCGATGTTCGCGTATTATTAGAATAATAAAAAGCATTTGTCATTAATAAATTTAATTAATTAAATTCTTTTCCTCTCAGGTGTCAAACTGAAACAACTGTGCAACAACGGTACCTGCGAGGACATCGGCAACTCGCACCGCTGTCACTGTCTCGACGGCTACACCGGCTCCTACTGTCAGAAGGAGATCAATGAGTGTGACTCCGCACCCTGTCAGAACGGAGCCCTGTGCAAAGACCTCGTAGGAACTTACCAGTGCCAATGCGCCAAAGGATTTCAAGGACAGAACTGCGAGCTGAACGTTAACGACTGCCTCCCGAACCCGTGCCAGAACGGAGGAACCTGTCATGATCTGATCAACAACTTCTCTTGCTCCTGCCCTTTCGGGACTCTCGGTAAGATCTGCGAGATAAACGTGAACGACTGCAAGCAGGACGCGTGTCACAACAACGGCACCTGTATAGACAAAGTTGGCGGGTTCGAGTGCAAATGCCCCCCAGGATTCGTCGGACCAAGATGCGAGGGCGATATCAACGAATGCCTCTCCAACCCGTGCTCGAACCCCGGCACGCAGGATTGCGTCCAATTGGTCAACGACTACCATTGTAATTGTAAACCTGGATTTATGGGAAGGCATTGTGACGCCAAAGTAAATTTCTGCGCAAACTCGCCTTGCCAAAATGGTGGTATTTGCACGGCGATACAAGGAGGACACGAATGTTTATGTAATGACGGATTCTACGGAAAGAATTGCGAGTACTCCGGTTACGCGTGTGACTCAAATCCGTGCCAGAACGGTGGCTATTGCCGGACGTCGGAAATTGGAGACTACATCTGCGACTGCCCGTCCGGACTGTCCGGAATCAACTGTGAGATTGACTCGATGAATGAATGTCTTAGTAACCCATGCAAACATCCGGAAGCCCGATGCATAGACAAACCCGGCGACTTCCTCTGCTACTGTCCAAGACAATGGACTGGCAAGAGCTGTGATATTTTCGACCCCCACTCTAGAGGTGGATACGGAAGCCCCGTTTCGGGAGTTTACAGTAAAAACCCGGGTTTAACCTTGCAAGAGTTGGATCTGGCATTCCAAAGGGAACAGTGCGTGAAGCTGGGCTGTAAGGAGAAGCAGTCCGATCACCACTGCGATGAAGAGTGTAATACATATGCTTGCGAATTTGACGGAAACGATTGCTCCCTCGGTATCAACCCTTGGGCAAATTGCACAGCGCCAATCAAATGCTGGGAAGTGTTCATGAATGGAGAATGTAATGAAGTGTGTAACACGCAAGCTTGCTTATTCGACGGAAGGGACTGTCAGAAGTCGCTGCAACGTTGCAATCCCATCTATGACGCATATTGCCAGAAACACTATGCGAACGGCCACTGCGATTACGGATGCAACAACGCTGAGTGTAATTGGGACGGCCTTGACTGCGAGAATGAACCCCCAGACCTTGCTGAAGGTGTCATGTCCGTTATCTTGCTCATGGACGTTCGAACGTTTAAAGAGAACTCTGTCGCGTTTTTACGAGACTTGGGCCATCAGCTGAGAACAACCGTAGTAATCAAAAAAGATCATCTCGGCAACGATATGGTTTACCCGTGGAAAGGAGCGGCGGACGTGGGTCTTCAAGACACCGAGTTTGGAAAGAAACATCAGATTGTCTATACCGAGAGAGGCCAGTCGGGTGTTCAAGTGTATCTTGAACTTGACAACAGAAAATGCTCGTCAATATCCGGAGGCGAGTGCTTCTTCTCCACTCGTGAAGCCGCTGATTTCCTAGCAGCTACCGCTTCCAAACATTCTCTGTCACCCGACTTCCCGATCTTCCAAGTGAAGGGAGTCACTACACCGGATAGCCCTGGAGACTTACCAACAAACAGTAAATACGTCTTTATCGGCGTTATTTTAGTCCTGCTCGCTGGCTTACTAATCGGAGTGTTAGTGACTGCGCAAAGAAAACGCGCTGCCGGCATCACTTGGTTCCCAGAAGGCTTCATCCGAAATAATTCTTCGACAAGAAGGCGTTCTAGACGCCGCGGTCCCGATGGTCAGGAAATGAGGAATTTAAACAAGGGATCTATGGGTTGTATTGATGTGGATATCAATGGTGGGCATATGGGACCGCCGCATTGGTCTGATGAGGACGACGACGGTTCTGCGCCGCCAAGGGCGAAGAGAGCGCGAGGTCCAGGCGATGCTAATGGTGCTCCTGGAGGTTATGCTTCAGATCATACGGCAATCACGGATTATGAAGAAGCCGGTCACGATTCGAGAGTATGGACGCAACCGCACTTGGACGCGGCGGATATACGGGTACCACCGAGTATGATGACTCCACCAGCAATCGTAAGTATCTTAACTCTTTTCTTCCTTTTCTTATTCAAGTTTTGCTATAGTCGCCATGCTTAGCGTGCAGATTAAAGATCGTAGTTCCAGAAATCCATACCTTTGACGCTGGTCTTTTTCAACAGTCTAGGTATATTATGAGTCTCATTGACATCGTAAAACCGTCATCCATTAAAGTCTACGATATTTTTTTGGTATGAACACAGTTACGACACCCATAAGACGAAGGGTAATAAATTTGAAAGAAAGAAAAAAAAAGAAATTGCTTCCTCACGGCAAATATTATATGGTTGCCTGGAAGAGATCGCTATGTAGCGATAAGGCCCCCAAATTGTACATGTAATCTACTCTTTGTTATGTTCTTTGTAAATTTGTTTGTGGTGTACAATAAAGTATATTCATTCATATTATAAAATGGGCTGTGGTCATGATGTGTCCTCGAAGTATCATGTTCAGTTCAGTTTTTTAATTAATTGGATTATTAAAAAATAAACCAAAACAAGTTAGAAATTGATAAGTTTGAACAAATTGTTCACAGTGTAGTATAAGAATCCACTATCCCATGTCATCCAAGTACCGTAAGAGCGACAGGGGAAAACTAAAACAGGAGATATGTAGCGGCATCTCCCTGATAACAACTCTGTAGAAATGAAAATTGCAGTTGCTAACACGCTTGTGAGGCGAGGCAACTATGGTGGACTGGTGTGGAAGGCCTATGTTCAGATGTTAATTTTGATGATGATATTTAAAAAAAAATATAAGTATTTTTTATTCGGAACACCGACATTTTTTATACATTTCACTTATTATAACATTTTATCTTATATATAGGTGTTCGCATATGAAGCATGACCGTGTAGTGGCGGTGTAAGAATATTTACTACCCAATATCGTCCCGTGGGTGCCGCAACAGGCGACAGAGGGATATTGACACACGTGATGGACAGCAGCAACTTCCTGATTACAATTCAAAATAATAAAATACTGCGGTTTCAACCTATCTGTCAAGCGTGGCATCTGTGGCAAGATTCCCCCTATGTGGCACTCCATGGGTTAGGCCTACGTTCAGCAGTGGAGTTTAATGGGTTGTAAGGGTAAATGTCAGCGATATGAAGTATGGGTGGATGTGTAAAGTGTGTAATTGTGTTTGTGTAGCACGACGGGCACGCGGACGTGAACGCGCGCGGGCCGCTCGGCATGACGCCGCTGATGGTGGCTGCAATCCGCGGCGGTGCGCTGGACGCTGGCTCGGACGCGGAGGACGAGCACACCGCGCACGTCATCTCCGACCTGGTGGCGCAGGGCGCGCAGCTCAACGCCGCCATGGACAAGACCGGCGAGACCAGCCTGCACCTCGCCGCCAGGTAACGCGGCCTCCGGGTGATAAGTAAAACTAGGCCAAGGGAGCAATCTAAAAAATATACCAGCGTAAAATAGCAAGATAATGCTTCTGAGTTTCGTGTGGTATGTGATGACTAAAATGCTTAACAGTCTGTAGTTATAATGGCTCTCTATATCGTTCCGACAAGAAACAGCAGTAGGTAAACCTATCTGGACTGACTTCTAGGCAGAAAAGAGTCCATCTAGTAAAAATTATCAATGAATTTATGACGCCCTTAATCTGTATTACTAAACATAACTCTAGTATTAAAGATCACAACCAGAACCTTATCGGTTCGAAATGTAAAAAGAAAAGTTGCTTCATATGCAGCAAAATGATTTTATTAAACAAGCATTTATCATAGAATAAACAACTTAATACGTAGTAGTAATTTGTATATATTATTTCTACCTTCAAATTTAAGATTCAGTAACAATATTCAACCAATTGAATTAATTTATATTAACATTTTGCCTTTGACAATTTAAATGAATATATTTTTTGACGAATCTGAATAAAATTTTAAATTAGATCCAGGCAGTCTTTACGCTATGTGTGCAAATCATATTAAAGGCTTATTTGAATGCGACTAACCATGGAATAATGTTTGACAGATATGCGAGAGCGGACGCTGCAAAGAGGCTCTTGGACGCCGGAGCGGACGCGAACTCTCAAGACAACACGGGGCGGACGCCGCTGCATTCAGCTGTCGCAGCGGATGCCATGGGCGTATTCCAGATTCTGCTAAGAAATAGGGCAACAAATCTAAATGCCCGCATGCACGACGGAACCACACCCCTCATTCTTGCTGCAAGGTACCATTCTATTAGTTATAATCTATTTTTTTCTGTTTTGATGTTCTTAACAAACTTCATTTTTTACTATGCTACCCAAATATTTTTTAAAATTGTTTTTCCTCAAATTAGGCTAGCGATCGAGGGCATGGTTGAAGACCTAATTAATGCCGATGCTGACATCAACGCAGCGGACAACAGTGGCAAGACAGCACTGCACTGGGCAGCCGCCGTCAACAATGTCGACGCTGTTAATGTACTATTGGTACACGGAGCAAATCGAGATGCGCAAGACGATAAGGTGACTATCGTAATTTTTTTACAGAACATTTTATAAGTAATTAGATACAATATTAGTAAATTGACCGTGCCTTTCGAAAACTTACAACACTAAATATTTCGTAAGAAGCTATTTATGTGTAATTGATTTAAAACAAAGCTTCGTTATGATTTTCGCAATTATTCTTTTCGATCCCTTCTTGTCGCTCACGATTTAACAGGCTTTTATTAGCTTCGCGGGACGGAATCTTTTAATGTAATTTTCACCAACTTGTAGACAGCCTATTGACTTGGAAATTTATACTCGTAAAGACCGATGAGAATACGGTTTCTAGAACAGCTTCGATATAACACATGAAGCGTTGTCCGCTCTCCGGGCAGGACACCTTGACTGGCGGGAGATCTCTCCATTTCCACATTACGGCCAAATATTACTATTATTTAAGCTACCACCGCGTGCTCGGCGAATTATATTTTCAGACATGTGATGTCCGCCAAAACGCATTGGGGCAGCGCGGCGGTCATTTCCTTGCCATTAAACCCTCTCAGAAATGAGAGGTGACCTGTGCCCAGCCGTGGGACGTATATAGGCTGTGAATAATAATTTTAAACCTTGTGTATGTGCAGGACGAGACGCCGCTGTTCCTGGGCGCGCGCGAAGGCTCGTACGGCGCGTGCCGGGCGCTGCTGGACGCGCTCGCGAACCGCGAGATCACCGACCACATGGACCGTCTGCCGCGCGACGTGGCGCAGGAGCGCATGCACGACGACATCGTGCGCCTGCTCGACGACCACTGCCCGCGCCCGCCGCACCACCACCTGCTGCGTGAGTGTCCGCCGCGCAATGTACTGCGCTCTCTTGTAATGTACTCGTATGTGCATGTGCGCTCGCCGCACCACCGCTGCACCGCTGCACAAGACTGTGACTATGGGTTACTTAAAAACAGTCACACAAGCTCTCTCATCACATGATCACTACAACAAACTGTTTTTGTTGTTGTTTGTGTACCCCTTAACTGCTTCATGCTGCTGAACAGTTTCTCTTACGAGTTACTTGATTATTTTTAAAATATAGTATTGTCATTAGTTTGACGTTGCTTAATTATACCCATCTTCTTTTGCAGCGTCGCCTAACCCTCATCCGCAGCTGATTAGTCAGCCAACGGTGATCGCGAGTGCGAAGGGCAAACCCAAAAAGCCGCGTGCAAAGCCCGGCCCCGACAGTCCACAGGAGCAAGCCTACGACAACAATAACCTACAACACACGCAGATTCGACGGTAATGCACTTTCTCCTTTTTCTTCAGTTTTACTCTATTTTATACACTACTATACATTACACTGAACTGGGATACAGGTGGATCAGGACCGTGCTTTGTGGAATTCCTTGGGAGAGGACTTTCTTCAGTAGTGAATTTGTGATGGACTGTAATTATGATGATGATGTGATGCTATTCTACAGAGGTACAGTTTACGGGAAAATATCTGTACATTTATTAGTACATATCTAACATGTGTCATCATTTTTTTATGATTTGCAAATACATTCATTATTCGTATGTGGGCTCCAATATATTTCAAAAAGAATTATGTAATATTTAAAAAAATGTTTATTATACGGTTATTTATGATGATGGTAAGTTCAGGTGTAAAGCCGGTTATTGTATTTTAATTTATTATGTTTGTTAACAGGAAGCCAAGTGTAAAAAAGAATAATAAGAAAGTGGCGCAAGAGGTGCCACAGAGCGTAGAAAGCTTAGGCTCAAGCCTAAGTCCAGTCGAGTCACCGCTCCAAAATTTACAGGTAATCAAAAATTCTGTATTCTTTTTTTACCGACTTCAAGAATGAGGAGGTATTAAATTCGACTGTATGTTTTTTTAATGCTTTTAGTGTGGTTCCATATAAATTTAACGAAAATCTGACCAGTAGCTTTTGAGTTATCTTTAGTAATGATTATTTAAGTGACTTTGAATACAATGATACTGTTCTCTTTTTAATTATATTGAAGTAGATTGTACATAATTTTTAATTTAACTACTTGTTTGTTACTAAAATTAATGTTATATTCAAATTTAATAATACTTGTTCGGATATTGAATACAGCCGTACCATACAATATTTTAAAACAGCTAAACACTTTTTTAATTCAAGTAATAACATTTTCTTGATTGGAAGCACTAATCAGAATATTAACGGCATGGTCCTTTGAGCCGGATGTGACGTTAATATGTGAAAATAATCAATTATAATCTTTTACATTGTATAGGATTTGCCGTCGCCGTACGACGCGACGTCGCTGTACTCGAACGCTATGGCGCAGTTCCCAGGCATGGAGCAGCTTATACAGCACAAGCAACCGCCCAGCTATGAGGATTGCGTCAAGGTATCGTGTCTGCCTTACAAGGTATTTTACCGAAGCCATTTTACTGTCAATATTTTTTCTTTCTAAGTCTTAAACACTACGTCAGTTCTAAAGATTCTACTGCAAGACACGGGTCATTCACATAATAAAGAGCATTTGCTTTAATCGCCATGCTTGACAGGCGGATTGACTAAACGTTTCGCACTAACTGGCGTAAACGAGATAAGATCTTTTAGGTGGGATACGAGTATACCTATTGTGGCCCCTTACGACACGACATGAAAAGGGGTGATGAAATATTTTACGCTGCCGCCACACGGCCTTCAATATTCATTTTTTAAACACAGAATGCATCATTACATAGCAACTGTCATTATGAAGGTACTTGTCCATTGTGTGAAAAATAATATCGTGATTGAGTTTGTAATTCTGGTACACTTTGTTACTCTCGTAATCATCATTCTTAAATACACTCATTGCACGGAGTATGCCCATGATCACTATGCTGGTTTGGTTTGGCTCTGTTTCTGTTTCGGATTTTGGATTAGCGAGCGCAGATTTCATAATCCTATTAACTAGTCTCTAATGTTTAGGATATTCTTAAATTTTTATTCTGTCGTGCATAGTGCATCGCGGGCATGTTTATTTTATAGCCGTAAGGTTGTCGTCAAAAAAGCACACAGCTCACTTGATGGTAAGTGCGTGATGAGGCCCATAAACAACTACATTTTTATCCCTGATTTAATCAACATGCGGATGCGTTACCACTCCTGAGATAAAAAAATAAAATGCCTTGTTACCAGTAAAAAGGTGTTACGAGTAAATATGTAATATCCCTCCTTATTTATTGTGATTTTTTTTTATTTCAGTATGGAAAAAGTACATACAGTGCTCTTATATGGTTCGTTTATTTATTCATTACAGTCTTTGAAAAGCTCACTGCTAGACATACGCCTCAAGCGCACAGGGGATTTTTACAATAGTGGTACATTTTTTTAGTTATATTAAGTTTTTTTCGGGAAGATACCTCTGCCCCTCTCCTGTTTTTTGTTTCCATCTGTCATCTCTTACAACATTCACGATGATATGGGGGTAGTCAGCACACATTACTATACATAGGATTTTATCGTTAAGCCTATCAAAAGCCTTCCGTTAATCACAGCCATGTATGTGGGAAGACCCCATCATACATGGCCTCAATGGGCAATTATTTGCCATAGATGCCACGGTTGGCAGGAGTATTTTTAGTTGTTTTTGGGTAGACACTACTACCCATCTACTGCTCAGATTCTTTGTCGCCTCTTACGTCACCTACGGACGACATTGGCTAGTGGACATTCTTACACCGCCCCTACTTGGTGCTATATAAATATATACTTGGTACTACCCTACTTGGTACTATATAAATATATACTTGGTACTACCCTACTTGGTACTATATAAATATATACTTGGTACTACCCTACTTGGTACTATATAAATATATACTTGGTATTTGGTTATAACCAAATAGATTATATAGTATATATAGTACCCTACTTGGTACTACATATATTATATAATCTATTTGGTTACACTTAATTAGTTTTAGAATGGTAATCAAACGTTGTAGATATTTAAATGCTACACGTTGTTTGCAGACGGGTCAGACGCTGCAGTACGGCGGCGGCCTGGGCGCCTCGCTGTCGCCGCCATACTCCAACCACTCGCCCACGCACAGCAACCACACCACCTCCCCGCACGCCTATATAGGTCAGTATCACGTTTTTTAATTTTCTTTTCTTCTTTTCTTCTTACGTACCACGTAGTACGGTCCGGGCGGCCAGATTTTTGGATTCAAATAAGCTGGAAAGAACTGAATTACACTTTGATTTTAGCCGAAAGACCAGGAAACGATTCAACGATAAACGTGTTGATGATTGCTATCATATTTTTAATATAATAAAGGTAACAGCTTACAACTGTGAAAGACTATCTTGCACATCGATTAGAGATTTTGGACGTGGTGGAGCCATACTGCAGTTATAGTATAGTATAGTTGTAGCACGAATGGGTCGGCTCGATCGGGGAAGTACCACGCTCTCACAGAATACATATAAAATATAAAATAGTAGCATAATGCTGCTGTGCTTCGTATGGTGAGTGTAGAGAACCGAAGACTTTTAGTTCTCACGGGTTACAACGCATCTGAATTTTGATTCGTAATAGAGGGTAGATGTGGATGTCTATGGGTCACAGCAACCACTTACCATCAGGTGGACTATGTGCTCGTTAAAAAAAGCATTTCATTTAATAAATAATAAATTTCTCAGTAAAGTTCCAAACTCTATGCAATGAATAACTATATAAACGGTGAAATGTTTATTTGTGTTCGATCTCAACCAAAAGAACTGCACTCACAAGACACGAGCGAACGATTCGAGCTGTTCACACAACATAGTATTGGAATCATAAATGATCCATTTAAATTAACGTCCCGAATGTCACATGTACGATGCCGTTTGATGCCGTATAATGCCGTATGATGCCGTGCGATGCTGTGCAATGCCAGCGTCCAGATCTCTTATTCACTCGGAAATAATCTGAACATCGCGTTCTAGCAATATACGTTCTAGCATTATAGCAACTAACATACAGTGCTATCTATCGCACCTTCAACGCGACACAACAATTATAATACTTACTACTCGTTCATTTCGAGTTTACCGTCGTTATGATGTAACAACTGACGGTATCGTAGACAAAACTATTACTGTAAGTGTTTTAGTTGTATGAAGTTCGATTTTTAGTTTGAGGCACTGTACAGAGAAATGGAGGGCAAACAAGTAGATAAAATGCATATTATTAATTTATTTATTTAGTTAATAGAGTGTATAGGAGGAACGTGTACAATAAAATAAAATTTTATGTTATATATTTTAAATGAGTGATTTACGAATGCGCGAACAAAAACTAGTAAGTAGATAACTACGTATCCATAACTTCGATACCAGTTTTTTTCATCGAAATAGTTCGTTTCTGCATTACGTGTCACTCCATTCTGTGCTTATCGCAAATTGACAAGCGTAAAAATTAAACAGAAAGAAAATCAATAGTAACAAAAACAACTAAAAAAAGTAACAAACTTGAGATTGCATGAGAGTACAAATAACGGACGTAGATATACGTTGCTATCAGTACTATAAGGCCGACGCTTGAGGCGCGGTATGAGGTAGAGCGGCGGGAGGTAACGGAATTCATGAAATGAACACGTAGTACAAAAATTATACGTGTACGAACAACACAATATTTGTACTTATATTCTTATTTAATTTTAATCCTGATCAGTAGCGTAGCGTGTCTTAGACGGTATCTGTGTCAAAATTTAATGGGGGGCCCAAATGAGGGGTAAAGATTTTTCACAAAAGGAACAAAAACGCTCGCATTGCATTGAAATAATTATAAATTGATTATAAGTTCTTATTTACAATTAATACTCCTCCTATGAACAGGTTTCTCATTGTTATTCACTGTAAAGAAAAAATCCTGAAACTGATGTATACTGGCAGTCACGCGTTGCGGATTTAGTTATTTATGGTCGCGGGTCAATCGTGAAGTGAGATGTGTTGCCAACTTTTGGACACCCACTTGACCCGGGGAAAAGAAATCCTTTTCTGACTTTCATAATTTTAGAAGTGAAAACTTCATTAGGAAAATTGGGTACTTTTCATGATATGATTTTTTCTCGGGAAGTACGACCTCAGTTTAAGTATGGATAAAATTTTACGAATTTTTGATTACACGCTTTCGAAGCCCCAGTAGCCCAGGGGCCTGATATCATTGATACGGCTGATACGGCGGTGGCTACGCCCCTGGATCTTAATCGCATTTAAATTTAATTTTAACGTAACGGACAGTAAATAGAACTCACTTTTTGTTACCATTTTGACATGAATACGACTTTAAATTTGCTTCAATAGTGGGAGGTAATTCAGAAATACTGATGATAACACAATTGGGGGTACAGTTTGGTATTATAGTACATGTCTATCATATATTCAAAATTTAATTATACCACTCCATAGCTAAATGATTCATAACGTAAAGTTAGAACTGTGACGCTTCGCGAGCGGCAGAGGGAGGAGCGACCCCATTTTGAGGTAGTTTTGTTACGTACAAATACGTGTAAAACACATGACTTAATTATTTGAATTTTTGAACCACAATTTTTATTACAAGTTACCTAAAAAAAATACTAACGATACAAGTGATTATTATTGTTGCAGGTTCGCCGTCGCCAGGCAAGTCGCGGCCGTCGTTACCGACGTCTCCTGCCCACATGGCGGCGCTGCGCCACTCGCATCAGCATCAACTCGACGCAGCTACATATTCTGCGCTCGCCCACCTCAGTACGTATACATTGTTTTAACTCACACGTTCATCTTGACACACACACACACACTAACAAAAAACATAAAATAGCGTGAACTTGATAAGTCGACAGTAATAACGTATACTTCGTTTCGCCTCACAAGCTTACGGGCACGTTCATCTTGACACACACTAACGAAAACACAAAAATGCGTAACCTTGACAAGACGGCAGTAAATCCCAACCTCTCCGCTTCGCGTTCGAGGTTTGCAATAAGATTCAGATCGCATATAAAAACTTTTAAATAACTGATGAGAGAATTCTAGAAATCGCACACGCAAATGAGTAACAGCTCTCACCTCAGAACAAGTACAACTTATTTTCTGCACACACTCATTTACACTTGAATAAACGACAATATTACTGAGTAGTGGCGGTGTAAGAATACACTCTACCCCATATCATTCCGTGGGTGTCGTGAGAGAGAGAGGACAGAAGGAAACGAATCAGGAGATGAGCAGTAGCGTCTTCTTAATATCGACTAAAAATAAAAAAACTGCTGCTTGCAATCCGCTTGCCTAGCGTGGCAACTATGGCAAAACCCCTCCTATGAGGCAATCTATGGAAGAGGTCTATGTTCAGCAGTTGAATTTAATAGGCTGTAACGCTTTAAGACAGTTTTGAAAAATTTGTCTTGCGTTTGCGCGTATGAGTATGTTATAACCCCACAGCTTATTATATGGGGTCTATAATAAGGGGTTGAGAGGTTCTATGGACAGCTGTACACGTCATCGTCAGAGCCACACGCAAGTATGTGTAGCGATCCAAGAGCAAGTCTTATCCGACACTATTCCGATGATATCCCGGACGTCAGTCTGCGCGAGATCACAATGGCTCTCGAGCACCTTAAAAACGGCAAGTCCCCGAGCGAGGTTTGAATCACAGCTGAGCTTCTAAAAGCGGGTGGAAAACCGGTATTTGAAGTCCATCAGAAGCTCTTTAATTCCGTTCTCTATGGTGGCACTACTCCCGAGGCTTAGAGCAAAATCGCGGTGGTCTCGTTCTTCAAGAAAGGTGACAACGCTCTCTTGAAGAACTACGGACTGATGTGTCCGCACGTAGACACGGATGTCACGTGACCGTGTCTACGTGCTGTTTTCGAGAGTAATTACGAATCGTTTCGCACGCAGACTCGACGACTTCCAGCCTCCCGAACAAGCCGGTTTCTGAAAAGGCTTTAGCACCATTGATCATATACATACCCTTCGGCAAATTGTACAGAAGTGCGAAAAGTACAATCTGCCTTGTTGTGTGTGGATTATGAGAAAGCCTTTGATTCTGTCGAAATTATATATATATATATATATATATATATATATATATATATATACAGAATGGGTCCCACATATATGCAATAAATGAAACCATATACTTTTTATCGCCTTTGCTGACGATATACAAAAAATGAACGTAAACGGTCCAGTAATTAGGTCAAAAAGTAGAGTTTTAATTTTAAGCAAATTTGAACACTATAGAATTGGGTCACTAAGTCAATGATTCAATGAACTTGAATCCTTGAACATTAAAAAGCGACGTTGCCACGCAGTGCAAACAATTGGTATTGCGACATATCGACAGCGGTGTCTTTTGTCGGCGTGCCACCCGCGTGCAACGTTGTCACTCTTCCAAGGGGTCAAGGTACGTTGTCTAAACAGAGTGTTCACTTTTACTGAATTTATTTTAATATTTATTTTGTTTGAAAATTTCACCTTTTTTATTTTACGGGTTTTAATTTAATATTTAATTTTTCTACACTTCTGCGGACTAGTATTACTTGTGGTTTCATTTATTGCATATATGTGGGACCCATTCTGTATATATATATATATATATATATATATATATATATATATATATATATATATATATATATATATATATATATATATATATATATATATATATATATATAACGTCCGTAGGTAAGTCCAACTTCGACCGAGAGGTTAATCGGCGGATTTAACTGAAAACTACGACCAAGAACCAGAGTGACCGACATAGCCCAACGGATTAGTAAGCTGAAGTGGCAATGGGCCGGCCATATAGCTTAAAGAAATGATAACCGATGCGGAAAAAAGGTTCTAGAGTGAGTATAGGCAAAGTGTAGGGCGACCCCCCACTAGATGGAGGACCGTGCTTTGGGGCATTCCTTGGGGGGAGGCTTATGTTCAACAGTGGACTTGTGAAAGGCTGTAATGATGATGATAATAATAAGCGGTAGGATATTTATTTATTTTATTGAACAATATATTGTGTCCCCTTCGGACATAGTATATCAAAAATTTTGAGCAACATTTTTTTTAAATAATAGTTTCTTCGAGTATGCTTCTTGTAAGAAAATATGAAAAATAAGGTATGCATGTTTTAAAATGATACAACAAATTTGATATAAAAATAAACACACGAAAGAGAGAGAGAGAGAGAGAGAGAGTGAGATAGAGTGAGTGAGGGGTTCTTATTTTATAAATATGCTAGCAAAAATTTTGGCAGTAAGTTTTGGTCGTAATCTACCAGGAGCACTTTACAATATTGTGTACATCTCGTCCAACAGGTGCGAACGGGCAACACAACGCTCAGCTGCAGGCGGTGATGACGCACGCGGCTGCCCTCGGGCAGGTGCAGGGCGGACAACATCCCGCTCTCACCAACATGATTTCTGGTGAGTAAACTTCGCCATTATTAAAAAACTTGCATGTTGGTAAAGAAATGTACACTGTGGAAATCGACTGATTATTTCTTTCATCCATAGATTAAAATATATTGCAACAATTAAACTAAGAAAATGTTGAATTTGTTGTTACTAGCAAGTCGTTAGGAGTACCTATAAAGTATTTTAGCATTTTGGTGGTTATTAATTAAATATTGTTGGATTTCTCATAGCTTTATTTTTATTTAATTAATCTTTACTTTGTAAAAAGCACTCACTAGTAATTTCTCCTTTATCGTAGAGGCGTTTTACATAAATAAATTGGATATAACATTATGTAATTAAATTCGGTCATACAAATTTAAAATATCTTTTCAAAAATATATTTTATATTATTAATTTTATATTTTGCCAAAATTATCAAAGCAACTTAAAACGATACATGTATTCAGATAGTTAAGTTATCAACAATATAGGTAACCTCATATATTTTTAATAATTCAACAGGAATAGGCCTGTATGGAGGCTGGGGTATCGGAGATACGTTCCCGACGCCATCGCCTGAGTCGCCCGACCAGTGGTCAACGCCATCGCCACAAACGCCCCTGACACAATCGCCACACTCCGATTGGTCGGACCGCGCTGCACTGTCGCCTAATGACATGCAACAGAGCAACAAAGGAGCTACGGAAGCCATTTATATATAAACTTAATTAAAAGAAAAAGTATACAAAGCAAGCGACTATCGCTTTTATGAACTTGGTCGTAAGACTGAAAATGAATTTGAGATTTTTAAATCATGTTATAAACATGACAATGTTTAAATATTATATAACTACCTGACTGTTTAGGTAAACTGTTTTATATTCCTTGAGGTACGTATGTATACATAGAGTTTGTTCAATAATACTTATTGAATTGTAAAATAAGGTTATGAACAAAAATTGTTATCTATGCTAGAATATATACTTGTATTATTCGAAAAAATTACAGTTTTGGGATTTAAAATATTTAATTTCATAGGATTTAAATAAAATACTAGTAGTCCTATGTCTAGCCATTTGGAAATGAAATTTAGCAGCAAGCTAAATCGTAAAATGGTTATATTTATTAAAACGACGTACGTAAGACGCAAGTTGATTTATACGATTGATATTGAAAATACGTCTCTCATTTTCAAAGTGCTCGAATGCAAGTAATCTCAAGGTGCTAGGGGCTTAGACTATAGACTGATTTGTACAGCCATGACTTGATGTGTAGTATAGCGCAAATATGATGCATTGGTGCAAAATGTCTATGGACGAATAGTAATGTGTATTTAGTGGCTCCCAACGCTCGCTTCAGTGTGTAAGAGCCTTATTTTTTTTTTGTATTATTTTGGTCATAAACTACCATAAGTCTTAAACACAATAAAGCTTTAATTAAAAAAAAAACTTTTATAAATTTAGGTCTTAATTTGTATTTCCATAAAGATTTATAATTTTGTAATTTCCATACTTTAGCTGTATTGTATTGGTTTTATTTTATTTTTTAAATATCGGTTTGATTTTTTTTAAATAAAGGAGCTCACGAAAATACACAAATAATCGGAGTTGGACATGAATTGTTGTGTTGTTGAATTTTTTTCTTGTTTATATGACAATGTGTTTTGAATCATTAATTTTAGCGGGAGAACTATGTATTTCGCATATGAGATTGTTTTGAGTAGCGACGTGAACGGATATTATTTATGTGTGATTCCTTAGCGTTAACATTTTGTATTTTAGTGTATGTAGATCTTTTTTTTAATTCTAAGAAAGATTGTTTAGGATAAGGCGTAAAAACTAAGATTGATGATTAATGCTTGACATAGTCAATTATTTCCTCATTTTATTTCAGTGATAATAATATATTTATTTAAAAAATATATCTTTTATTCGCATACAGCATCAATCTTAGTTTCATTATTGGTAAGGTTATTTCTTCCGCTCGTATCAATCATTCCAGTTATTCTTCCAATATTGTAGTGGCAAAAAATAATTCTAAATAGCTCAAAGCTATGCATCTGAAATAATGATAATGGTAACTATTGCATAGGTCTTATGTTTCCAGAATAACCTTAATTTAATATAAAATAGCCGCTACAAAATCGCTCCAGTATTTTAATCAAGTACACATATGTACAAGTAAGATCTCATCATTCCATTTTCGCTTTAAAAGAAACGAAATGTTATCTTTGGGACCATTCTCTGCTCAATTTGTTACAAAAATATTCCACATTTTTAAATTGTATTATATAATTGCTAAGTAGTTATTATGCCTAAGTTTATCAAATTTTTGATGTCGAAACATCTGCGTCAATATTGTAAATATTAAATTGTAACTTCTCCTAAAATATTTAATGAGAGTCCGAACTTGAAAATGATCTTCGTAGTATAATTTAGTTTATAGTATGAATTATTATATTTTTGTCTGTGTCATGAGAATGTGCCAATGAGCCAAGTTCAATTAAAATAAATCAGCAAGTGTTTTTTTTTTGCAAAATTGTTCAACAGATTAAAATTGTTTTATCAATAACTGTATTACTAATAGAAATAAGTAGGATAAATTAAGCGAAACGCGTGCTTCCTTTAAATGAATTCTTCTATGAATATAATATTTGTAAGGTTAAATGATAATACCTACATCAATTGATAATAAAACACAAATTTGATTTAAAGTACAAAGTAAATTTGGAGCTGATTGCCCTGATTTAGTTTTTCACATTTTACTTATATAATTTTATAATTGCTGACATAGCTACATACGTAATTTTAACAAACTCAATTCAATTTTAGCAAACAAAAAATAATACATTCTCTATTTAGTTCCGGAAAGTATTGTTATTAAGAGGTCTATAAAATATGTTTTAATGTAATTACACATTCATTGACAGTACAAACTGGACAATATTTAATATAAAATCGATTGGCACATGATTAAAACTTGTAATACTTGTGAAGCGGGGCACAAAACTTGTCAAGACAGACTGCACGGTCTCAATTTCTGGTGTGCCTTTAACCTAACTGTAAGTATAGGGACGATTGTAATTTAAACATTTCTATAGTTTTAAGATAAGCTATAGTTTAGGCGCTTGTAAATACATTTTATCATTATTATTTTTATGAAATGCATTTCCTTGTAAGAATCTAAAATTTGAGGAAAATGAATTTTTACATATTTTCCCCGTAACTGACAATAAAGGAGTAAATTTTAATCATGTATTTTTATTGAGATTCATCCCTATAACTCAAAAAGGGATATCAAAGTTCTGACGAAGAATAACGTAGAGATATAATTGTCAGTATTACAAAAATTTTGAAAACCAATATAATAATTTTTCTTTTTTTTTCCAAATTCTGAGTTTGTTAAGTGGTAATTATTTTATTCTTTTAGATGTTCCGAAGTTTGCTTTTTTATTAAGTTCAATTTTAGAACGTTTTGCATGGACTGTCACAAGCTAAACACATTAGAAAACTAAAATATTTTCTAAATACCTAGTTTCATTAAAAACTATAACCACCACCTATATTCCCCAGCTTTTTTTTAACCCAACATTTATCGTGATATGGGGTAGTCTTGTCTAGAGCATATTGAGCAGAGTACAATTACATATTGTTCTTTGCTTGGGGTTCGTGAAAGTAAAAATTGCCGATTGAATTACCAAAATTGACACTTTAATTACCGAACACCAATTAAAACTTAAAACACACTAATAATTAATCACACTACACTTCAGTTCATTTTATTTCGCTCCTGCAGCTTAGCTTAACTCCAGTGAAGACTTTCGCTTGTATCGCCAACAATTCAATACTGACACGGTCGCGGTCCGTAACGTCTTTATTTAGGATCTTTTCTACTGAAAACACTTAGAATGTTCGAGTAGAATGTAGAAAGTTCTAACATCGAATTTTCTAGAAAGCTCTTCTGGTTCTGTGCGGGAGAATTTTCTAGAAAGATCTTGACGCTCCTATTTCTGCTACTCGATACTAGATGCCGCTAGTGCCATATACCAGGAATCAACTACGGCGCGCATCACTGCCTTCTAAGACATGTTCGTCCCGAGCGTTATCGGCCCCATAATAACGTGCCAGTCGATCCACATGGACGATCTTAGGAGTACCTCTTGCACCTTTCTGAAACGGCTCCGCAACGCCAAGGACCATCCTCTCCCAAGGTGCACCAACATTGTACAATTTCAATGCACCTCTACTAAGAGTCCGAGGTCCCTTTACAGCCGCACAAATTGTACATTTGCGACACCAGTCCTCGACATCGTTTCGACAGTGGACCCAGTAAAACCGTTCTCGAATCTTCAGTAGAGTTCGTTTAACTCCCAGATGGCCTCCTGAACAATCATTATGGTACAGCTGTAGAACATCCGGTACTTTAGCTTTAGGGACAACCATTTGCAAATGACAGCTGTCTCCCTGACCATTTTCCCATTTACGGCACAGAACTCCATCCTGAAGCAGCAAGCTGTCCCATTGGGCCCAATAGCTTTTAGTGGTCGAACTCATCGCTGAGACGTCGCTCCATTTGGGCTTGGGAGCACTGGCCTTCATCCATTCCAGAATCAGCTTGATGTCCGAATTTTTCTGCTGTGCATGTTGTAGGCTGTCCTTCCACTCGCTGCTGAGGTGGTCTGTCCTGAGCATCTTCACAGATACCACTTCCTTACCCTCTTGCCTAGTACAATGCTTGCGTTCTTGAGGACAGTCTTCTTGACAATGCATCTGCGTTGCCATTAGATTTCCCGCTGCATTGTTCGATCACTAAGTCGTATTCCTGCTGCTGCTGGGTGGTGCTGTTCACCGCACAACCCTCTAGAGATCGATCACCTTCCCTTTTTATAGTGCGCTTAGGGCAGCTGGATCGAAGATGGCCCCTTTCCCCACAGTCGTAGCACCTTGGGCGGTAACTTTTATTGCGGTCGCGAACTGTAGCTGCTGCAACCTCCCTAACGTGAGGGGAACGATGATCCTGCCGCTGCTGGGTGGTGCCGTTAGCCGCACTACCCCCTCGAGATCGATCACTTTCCCTTTCTACAGTTTGCTTAGGGCAGCTGGATCGAAGAGGGCCCCTTTCCCCACAGCCATAGCACCTAGGGCTGTATCTTTTATTGCGGTCCCGAATTATAGCTGCTGCAAACTCCATGACGTGATGGGAGTGATGATCCTGCCGCATGGCTTTCATCTCCAGTGCATGGGTCAAGGCGTACTTAAGCGTCCCGTGGTGCTCGAGCCTCATAGCAGGACTTGAAGGTCGCGGATGCCGTCGATGAAATTCTGCACCAGGTTCCCTTCAATGAGTGCAGGTACAGACCGGTATGCTTTTCAAACCGGCTTCTTCACTTCAAGGTTCCACTGCTGCAGGTTTTCGTTAATGCGTTGCACGCGATCTTTAAGCTGCGCTCGAAAGACGTATTCCAGGTGAGCGTCGCCATATCTCGCCTCCAATGCCTCAATGAGCTGCTCGTAAGTCACTTCATTAGCTAGAGTTTCCAGAACAGTTAAGGCCTCGTCGCGCAGGCCTAGTGTGAGAGCAGTCATGGCCTGACTTTTATTCCAGCCGTTCGACTTCATAACAGCTTCGAACTCGATTTTAGTAGTTACTACGGGAGCTGTAATTCCATCTCCAAGTTTGAGTTCGAACGGTTCCAACGGTTTCTTCACTTGGTTGATTTGGG